CAGACGCTTCTTGGGTTGACGACCAGGCTACTCAGCGGTCGTCACAGGGTTACACCTTCAGCCTTGGCTCTGGTTCAGTTTCGTGGCGTTCTACACGCTCGTCTTTAGTTCTCAGCTCCAGTTGTGAGGCTGAGATCTACGCCACAGCCATGACTGCACAGGAGTTACGCTGGCTCACCTACCTGCTGACTGACTTGGGAGAGCAGCCTCGTTCTCCTCCAGTGCTGTACGTCGACAACAAGGCCGCCATTGCCTTGTGTGAGGAGCACAGACTGGAGCACAGAACGAAGCACATTGCTCTGCGTTACTTCCTGGCTCGAGAGTTGCAGCAGCGAGGCCAGCTTCGTCTTCGCCACGTGGCCACTCGGGCCAACACTGCTGATATATTCACCAAGGCACTTCCGTCTGGTGATCATCAGCGCTTTTGTACTCTGTTGGGCCTTGTGCCTACGTTTCCACACTTGCTGTAGTCTCTGCTTGTACTGTGATATATATATATATATAGATATATATCTATATATATACATGCTGGCTCTTGCTAGGTAGCCATAACTGTACTGTTATTGCTGCATATATATCTCTGCATGTGAACTGGCCCTGTGGCCCTTTGCTTGTGCTCGGAATGCGTGGTGACGTTGTGATCCACCCTGAGCTTGTTTTGCTTCTCTTGACTGGTCGTGTGACCCCTTGTTCTCCCCCACTTTGCCTATGGGGGTGTGTCAAACTATATGTACTGCATATTGTCTAGGCTGTAGTGGGGTAGCCCATATGGGGTACAACCCAATTAGGGTTTACTACTTGTACTCCTGCATCCTGTTAGTTCATTCATTCCTGCTGCTAGATTCTAACATGTAGTAGGTCATGCGGTCCTTCAGCAGCAGGAAGTAGAGGCTGCCATCCTTGGCGGCCACCCGGAACGTCCCGCACAGGTCGTTGTGCACGATGGCCAAGGCCCCTTCGTCATCCAAACCTTTGTCGGGGAACCTGTGCCGAGCCAACTTCCTACTGACGTAGGAGACGCACGCCGTAGCGTTTCTTATGTTCTCTAGCACTTGTGCGTTCATAGTGCAAAACGGCAAGAGTTTCACTAGCTAAAGTTGAGAACAAAGATGACAAGTGCAGTGGCAACACTGGCTACATTAGATGAAAGGCAGCGTGGCGAACGGATAGGTTGACTAGCAGCACAGCAAAGTTGGTGACCTGCCAGCACTACAAGTCGACACGACGCCATCGCTGCAGAAAAGTGGCTTGCCAACATAACAAGTCAGTGGCCAGTCAGCGCTACACCAGGGCAGCTTGCCAACGATGCAGCCGGGCGGCCTGCCAGCGTTGCAACCGCAGGTGCCAGCACATGCATACACCGATATCGTAGGTGCTTGTAGATGCGTACACCTTTATCGCAGGTGCTTGTAGATGGTTGAGCACGGCGTGCACCGTCTTGAACATAGCGCGGGTGCCAAGTCGGCCACGTGCCGATGGTTGTGCTTGATGATCCATGTCGACCACGTGCTGCTACGTGGCCGACATTGCCACAACCACCTCGACGACGTTCGCACACCTCCGCAAAACCTCGACGACCAGATAACTCGTTTGACCGAGTAAGCCCGAAGTCGTCGTCGACCTGTTGAGCGGAAGGAGCTCGTAAACGTATGTGCATGCTCGTCAACCGCCCATGTCAACACCCCCTGTATACTTTTACCAAATCGGCGTCCCCGTCGGTCGATGAACCCCCTCGTCGACCACACTAGTTGAAGTCGGCAGCCGCCTTTTCAACGTCGCGTAGGTCAACGGAGTTGGTCGACTCACACATCCAAGTCAACGACGTCCACTTCTGACACCCAGCTGCACCTCTCGCGCACCCTAGTGCAAGGTCGGCTTCGCCCAAGCGAGGGCGGGGCCATTTTCCGTCAACAAGTAGCCCCTTACCACCCCGCGACACTCGCCTCGGCACTGTTTCCGCCAACACGACTCGCCCGAACCACCCGGCTCGGCTAGTAACATGCGACCCAATCCTACGCATCGACTATTACCAACATTGGCATCAGGTCTGTAGGCACCTTTTTGCGAGCATGATACATTGATACCGTTGCCGAAATGGTTTTGCTATTTAATTCGCTAATTGTATTGTTTTTGCTTCAATAGTGTGTTTCTAGAAAGTCAGAACTTGTAGAAAGTTTTTCCACGGCAGAATACGGTTGAGTAGCGTGTCGCCACGTTTAAAAGCGGTTAGAGTTCGAACTTCGACCATGTTTATTGGGACATTCAAGTGCACTCGTAACGGGGAGCAAAAGTGTTGATGCTCTACACCTGATGCCTGTTTGAGCTCCTCCCGGTTGCCTTATGAAGGGGGCGTATAAGCTTTCCCAAGCATTTCGCATAAGTTTCGTCAAATCGCAGCTAGCCAAAAAGGATTCGCATGTGCTTATAAACAAGATCTGTAACCTAGTTTGACTTTAGTCTCTTATGCTTGACTTCGGTCTGTACCTAGTTTGACTTCGGTCTGTTCGTTACTATTGGTTGATAACCACGCGACGCGCTTGTAATGTAGGTGCATGAGGCTGGGGAAACAACCTCGGGTGCAGCGTATCCATCCGGCGCAAGGCAAATTCACGTGCATGGGGTGAGCATCAGCTGTACTCTGGTGCAGCCCAACTGCATCACCACCAACTGACGAAATGAGCTCTATTTTTGAGAGAAGAGAGCAGAGAGCCGCGAGTAGACGTCACGTCGATAGGACGGTCCTTATTGGCACCCAAGCACAGTGAGCACCCGAGCAGGCTACGAGCGAACAGCATCCTGTGATTCGCGAACACCGATCCATAGAACTGTAGTAGGCAGAATTTGACGGCGCACATGCTCCTTCCCACATCCGATCGTTCATGACCACGTCAGTTTCCAGAAAGAACGAGTATCATAACAAGACCAAACTCCATTTCATGCGACCGGCGTGTATCCTTACTTTCCGTGTATCCTTCAAGTAAGTCCATCATCTCGACAACGCGGAAATCTGCCCTGGAGATGTTCCGACAAACAGTCCGCACGGTAAGACGTTCACCGGCGTTTGCTGTTGGGCAAATCCAAGCTCTTCTCATGGTAGCTCCCCCGTCTCGAGGGAGCCAACTCAATCCCAATGCAGGTTACCTCGGGGTAACAGTCGGAACTCCCCTCGCCGATGTATGCTTGGAAGTTCTCTCAAGGTTCGAACTGAGTGAAAACATTGTTTTAAATTGCTGTACCCACTCCAAACAAGGTACTGCTGTGGATAGTAGCAGTACCCACTCCAAACGCTGCATACCCCTCAGAACGCCTTGCGATGAAACTCTTTCGAGGCGCTGCGATCTTCGTGCAGCACCTGCTGTCGCTGCTCGTAGGAAAGCCGTTTCCGCCTCCCGCGCCGCCGGTAAAACCGCGGCTCACCCTGTTGGCGAGAAACCCCTTCGGCGCGAAATGCCTCGACGGGAGGTGCGGAGCGGGAAGGGGAGGAAGAGGAGGAAGGGGAAACGCGGGAGGGTGCCCCAGTGGGGACTGAGAGGATTGAGAGGGGTGGAGGGGGAAGTAGGAAAATGCGGATCTGCTGAGAAGAGTAGCCTGAAGCAGGTTTCATTCCAGCAGTAATGGGGAAATAAGGCAGGGGAAGGAACATCATCACAAACAGATTTTGTGGTGGGTTTCAAACCAGAGTTCAGAAGGACCTGTTTCAGGAGAGACGTTCTTGTGATGATGCGGAGGTAAGAAGGAAAGAAGAGGGGAAAGGGGTTGTGGAAAAGGTCTGGAGAAGCCGTTCCTAACATGCTACCATAGATTCAATCAACCAACTTAAGGGGAACGCGTGGCTCTGAATTACCCTAAGTTAGGGTACATAAGCTTACACCCCCTCCCTGTATCCCCACCCCCTGCGAGGTCTGACTCTGAACTACACACACCCTCCCTCCCCCCACACCCGCACCTCCCACACCCCCCTTGCGTCCCAGCCCCCCAGGTTCTTTCTCCTGGGAGGCACAGGACTCGGCAAGAGCACGGCACATCTTCCCCCTCCCTCCACTCTCCCCTCCTTCCCCCACCCTCTCCCTCCTTCCCCTCTTCCTCCTCCACTCTCCCCTCCTTCTCCCACCCCATCCCCCCTGCACACTCCAGTTCCCCAGGGTACTATTTCCAGGGGGGCACAGGCATCGGCAAGAGCATGTGGCAAATCTATCTATCTGTTTGTTGCAACTTCTCCCTCCTCCACCCTCACCTTCACTCCCCTCCTCTCCTCTGCTCTTCCCCCCACCTTCCCACTACAATCCACCCCCCCAGGGTACTATTTCCAGGCGGGCAGAGGCACCGGCAAGAGCATGTGGCAAATCTATCTGTAGCATCTTCTCCCTCCCTCCACTCTCCCCTCGTCTCACCTCCTTTCTCCCTCTTCCCCACACTCCCCTTCGCTTCTCAGCTCCCCAGGGTACTACTTCCGGGCGGGCTCAGGCGTGGGCAAGAGCATGTGGCGCATCTATCTGCTGGGTGGCGCATGGTGCAGCTATGCCAAGCCAAGTGTGTCGCTAGTAGGAGCATGGTGAATAGCGGAAGCAGCACGTTCCACACCCACCCTCGCACCACATCCCCACCCGCCTGCTTCCCCCCTCTCCCAGCCCCCCAGGGTACTACTTCCGGGCGGGCTCAGGCGTGGGCAAGAGCATGTGGCGCATCTATCTGCTGGGTGGCGCATGGTGCAGCTATGCTGCCGAATGTGTGGCCAGAAACAAACATTTCCCACATCTTCACCCTACCTCTACTCCGCCCTCCTCTCCCCCCCTCCTCCCCCATCACTCCACATCCCAGCCCCCCAGGGTACTACTTCCGGCAGGGCTCAGGCGTGGGCAGGAGCAAGTGGCACATCTACCTGCCGCAAGGCGCATGGTGCAGCACTCCAGCCGAGTGTGTTGCCAGGAGCAAGATGGCTTGCGGAAGCAGCACGTTCCGCACCCCATCCCACCCTCCTGCTCCTTCCCTTTCTCTCCCAGCCCCCCAGGGTACTACTTCCGTGCGGGCACAGGCGTCGGCAGGAGCAAGTGGCACATCTACCTGCCGCAAGGCGCATGGTGCAGCACTCCAGCCGAGTGTGTTGCCAGGAGCAAGATAAATCGCGGAAGCAGCACGTTCTTCCCTCAAGTGCCCAGCAAGAAGGTACTTTTCGAGCCAACTAGAAACTGTTGCCGAGTGTGCCGCCGAGTGTGTCGTCAGGAGCTAGATGGAGCAAGATGAATCGCGGAAGCAGCTCGTTCTTCCCTGACGTGCCCAGTAAGAAGGTACCTTTCGAGCCAACTAGAAACTGTCACCGAGTGTGTCGCCAGGAGCAAGATGGAGCAAGATGGAGCAAGATGGAGCAAGATGGAGCAAGATGGAGCAAGATGGAGCAAGATGGAGCAAGATGGAGCAAGATGGAGCAAGATGGAGCAAGATGGAGCAAGATGGAGCAAGATGGAGCAAGATGGAGCTAGATGAATCGCGGAAGCAGCACCTTCTACCCTGACGTGCCAAGCAAGAAGGGGTGACTGCCGCACATGATGAGTCGAGCAAGGGTGCAAAGTCTGTAGCATGATAGATGCATAGAATGCTCGGGGACAAAACTGCCTTTGTCCTATCTACTGTGATGGTGGTGGCTATTTGGGAACGGCGGGGAGGCAGGAGGTTTGCAGAGGCACTAGCATCGACCCACCCTTCCACTCTTCTATTTCAAATCAGGCCATCCAATCCCCTCTACTTCCTCCCACCACCCTTCCATCCCCTCCCCTCCCCATCCGCCCCCTCCCTCCCATCACCCTTCGATCCCCTCCCCTCCCCACCCCCCCCACCTCCTCCCTTTCTCCAGCATCCCCTCTTTCCTGGGTTCACAGGCATGTTCAGTAGCAGCAGCCGCATCAACCCACCCTTCCATGATTGGAACACCGTTCGTTTTATCTACTGCGATGGGGGTGGCTACTTGGGAACGGTTGGGAGGTTGGAGGTTGGGAACGGCAGTGTGCTTTACCTGGATGGGTGGAATATCATCCAAGCAGTGATTGAGGGTGAGTGCTTGGGTGGAGAAGGGAACTACAGGGAGAGTCGAGGTTATCAGCAGCACAGTGCTTTACCTGGATGGGTGGAATATCATCCAAGCAGTGATTGAGGGTGAGTGCTTGGGTGGAGAAGGGAACTACAGGGAGAGTCGAGGTTATCAGCAGCACAGTGCTTTACCTGGATGGGTGGAATATCATCCAAGCAGTGATTGAGGGTGAGTGCTTGGGTGGAGAAGGGAACTACAGGGAGAGTCGAGGTTATCAGCAGCACAGTGCTTTACCTGGATGGGTGGAATATCATCCAAGCAGTGATTGAGGGTGAGTGCTTGGGTGGAGAAGGGAACTACAGGGAGAGTCGAGGTTATCAGCAGCACAGTGCTTTACCTGGATGGGTGGAATATCATCCAAGCAGTGATTGAGGGTGAGTGCTTGGGTGGAGAAGGGAACCACAGGGAGAGTCGAGTTTATCAGCAGCACAGTGCTTTACCTGGACGGGTGGAAGATTGTCCATGCAGTGATTGAGGGTGAGTGACTGGTTAGAAGGCTTGAGAGTGAGAGGGGTGACTGGGGCAGAATGGGAGTGAGAGGGGTGACTGGGGCAGAATGGGAGTGAGAGGGGTGACTGGGGCAGAATGGAAGTGAGAGGGGTGACTGGGGCAGAATGGGTGACTGGAACAACTTTGGCTTTACCCTCAAACCTCTCTCTCTCGTTCTCCCATTTACCCTTCTTTACTCCCTTCCTGTCCCTTCCTGATCTTATCTGTTCCTATCTGTTCCTCTCTGTTCATGTCTGTTCCTATCTGTTCCTCTCTATTTCTCCTCTGTTCCTTTCTATTCCTCTCTGTTCCTACTCTGTTCTTATCTGTTCCTCTCTGCTTCTCCTTTGTTCCTCCCTGATCCTCACTCTTTCTCTTCTGTTCCTCTCAGCTCCTCTCTGTTCCTCTCTGTTTCTCCTCTGTCCCTCCCTGGTTCCTCTCTGTTTCTCTTCTATTCCTCTCTGTTCTCCTCTCTTCGTCTCTGTTCCCCACTTCTCCCCTCTGTTCCTCTCTGCTTCCCCTCTGTTCCTCCCTGTTCCACATTCCGCCCAACCCCTTGGCCAAACGCAATCAGATCTCAAGTCAAGGCGCGGAATCCAATCTGCAACGCACATCATCCTCTCGGGCTCCTCAGCGGGCGGCCAAGCAGCTCTTGCTCTCTGCGATCGCATCGCTGCCGCCTTCCCCCACGCGACAACCAAGTGCGTGTGCGACTCGGGCTTCTTTATTGGTGAGCCTGCTGGCTTTGCTCTATGTGGTTTTAACTGACCTTTGTGTGTGGAATGGGAAGGGGGAAGGCGGGAAGGGGGGAGAGATGGGAGGGTGGGAGGGGAGGGGATGGGAGGGACGGATGGGAGGGATGGGGTGTGTCTCTATGTATGTGTTTTTGTTCCTTAAGTGAATCATTAAAGTGTTGTTGCTGTTGTTGGAAACGCGGTGGGGGGCGCGTCGCTTTCAGAATCGCCCTCACCCTTTTCATGCCCTCACTTCTTTTCAATATCGCCCTCACCATTTTCACGCCCTCACTTCTTCTCAGAATTGCCCTCACCGCTTTCAAGATCGCCCGTACCCTGGTCTGGTCTCCCCTGCTACTCCTCTCTCCCACCCTCCTTCCTTCCTCTGTTCCTACTCTAAGGACCGAATGGGGGGAGGGGGTATATAGGCCACGCCAACGAATACACGCTAGCGTACAATAAACAAGACGCGTATTTTCCAACTTAGCTCCTTCCTCCGTTCCTGCTATAAGGACCGAATGGGGGACAACACGTGATGCTGCAACTAACCCCCTTTGTCGCTCTCACCATTCCCGCCCCCACACCCTCCCCCCCCCCCCCTCCCTCCTCCCCCCCCCTCTCCGTCCAACTTGCCCTCCCAGACTCAAACGACCAAAAGGGGCAATACACGTGGCATGACACTGCTGTGAGGGACATTGTGACTTTCGAGTCTTTTGTGACTTGTGAGTCGGCTCACATCCTCCTTTGTTTCTACTCCCCCAAACTTCCCCTGCCAGACTCCACGGGCCGAGAGGGGGGCAACACATGCCGTGGCACTATCACAGACATGGTTGCTGTTGAGGCGCCTCAATAGCTCTCTCACACCCTCCTCCTTCCCTCCTCCCCTCCCACCCAACCCCCCCTGCCAGACTCCAAGGACCGAGAGGGGGGCAACACGTGGCGTGGCACTATCAAGAACATGGTTGCTCTGCACAAACCCACCTGGCCTGCTTGCCAAGATGGTGAGGCGCGACGGGGGGAGAGAGAGGGGAAGGGGTGACAGGGGTTGAACTCTACAAACACACACGCCACCACTCCAAAAAAAAAAAAACAAAAAAAAAAAAAAAAAAAAAAACTCACAAGTCGCATCGTTTTAGGTCGAATCGCAACACCTCACTTGCGTCAACTCACCAAGTCACTTCGTTTCACGATTAACTCTCAAGTGCGTTTTGCATCAACTTGCGAGTGACTGCGTTTTGCTTGGAATCACAAATTGCCACGTTTTGAGTTGACTCAAAGGTATCCCCCGTTTTTCACACTCCTCTGTCCACTACACCAATTCCCCTCCTTCCTCTCCATCAACCCTTACCCCCTTTGACCCCCCCAGCCTTACCTGAGACCGAGCATTGGAAGTGTTTTTTTCCGCAGTACACTTTGCAAAGCATTACAACCCCCACATTCATATTCCACAATTTATTCGACAAAAGAGCCAGCCAACACGGCGGACTGTTACCATGGAACGACAAGCACTCGTCGCTATGCTTACGCGAAATATTACGGATCAACGACGTGACGGGGATTGTAAGGAGAAAGGAGTGGAGCGGGATACAGTGGACGTCGAATTACTGTACGGATGGGGAGAGAGATGCACTGTTTGTTGCAGCGTCTGTGCTCTGTGAGACGCTGGAGAGTGCTATTGAAAGCGCAGATACTAGCATAGCTGCATTTGTGCCGGTTGCAGACACACATGGGATATTATGGGAAGACACTTGGATGAAACCGCGAATTGGAAAGATCTCTCTAGGTTCTTGCAGGCAGCGTCTCTGATCGATTTGTGCACATGTGAATGAAATGCGCAATTTTCTCAGAAGTGCACTTTTGTATGTGAACTTAGCTAGTCAGGTAGGGCAGCATAAGTAAGAACCACCTGGAACCTAGGTCTCGCCGTTCCTTCTAGAGTCCGCACAAGCCAAAGTCAAAGGCCGTTCCTGGGTACATTCCTGACGCACGTCACAAAGGCCTCGCGTCTCAAACGAGGAGATGCAGTGCGGTGGAAATGTTTGACACTTATGTGTAATGCGGCGCAGACTGGTACAGCGGTTTTATGACGCGATTGAGACATTTGTGTCCAGGGCGGAATGTACCCTTAGGGGAGACATGCGATATACCCTTTTGAAGTTTATCTTTTGTCCAGGTCTCTAAATCTCAGCAGGTCAGGTATGGTATGGTAACAGTCTAGCATACTAGTGTAACGACAGCTGCTCAGAAGTGGGTCCGGTGATAACTTGATTCAACAATCTTGATGGTTAGAACAAGAGATAGGGTTTAGCCTTTCATGAGCGATTGGAAGCAATAGCGATGCCCATGTTAATGAATCGCCAATACAATCTCCCGCGCTTTTTCGTGGGTAGTCAGTCCATCGCCTGAGTGCCTCTCATGAAAGCATGGTATTACTCCGTGCTAAATCGCGCCGCCGCCATGTTCTCCTCTCAGATTTTGAGCTCTCGTTCGTTTACCGCGGCCACCTCATCCGTCTGTCACAATTGTCGCAAGGAATTGGCAAAATTGCATTGGAATCTCAATGGCGACCTTCGCGTCGCGCCGTCATCGCACTACAGACTGTCGCAGAGTTGCGATCGCCGGGATCTCAGCCAAACTCGAGCGCGGGAACAGGAACCTTCTCGAAGTTTGCACCGGTCTGAGTCGTCATGTCTGCATGCGTCGCATTCACTTTCGCGAACTTATCTGCTTTCGTTCGAGCGTCAGACATTCGCGAGGTTACTTACAACTGCTGCCAGATCCCCGAGACGCATATGTGTTCAGGCAAACGGAGCGTCTTGTAACGAGACCGCTGGTGCTGCTGCTGCGACCGAGGATGCTGGAAAGTTTTCGTTTCCCAAAGCACCGGTGTTTATGAAAGCGCCAGTGGTGACAGGATTCGGACGTGGAAGCAAACAGATGGGCATCCCAACAGGTACTATTGCTTACCCCACCCCCTTTTTCCTGAGAACCCAAAAATGTTTTGGAAAAAACACTCTGTTTGTGAGTTTTTTGCTCCACCCTCTCCTTTCCTCCTCACTCCCTATCCCATTATTCCGTCGCCCTCTCTATACCCTTCCTCCTCCCCCTCCCTCCCACACTGCCACACTCCCCCTTCCCGCTTCCCCATAACCCAATCCCAATCCTCCTCCTTTTTCTTTTCTACACTGGGGAGAATGTGTGAAGAGGGAAAGGGATGGTAGTAGGTGCTGAAAAGTATGGTGTGGCGTGGATGCGCGGGGTTCTGAGCTTCCGCATGCATTGAGTTGAATTCTGAGGCGCCTCAAAACTCAACTCAATGCTGGAAAGGATGGTGTGGCGTGGATGTGCGGGGATCTGAGCTTCCGTGGGGAGGGAAGAGGGGAGAGGGGAGAGGGGGGGAAGGGGATGGTCGTAGGTGCTGGTAAGGTGGTGTGCCGTAGATTTTCAGGGAGCTGGACTTTTGTGAATAGAACCGCTGAGAAGGGGGGAGGACGAAGAGATGGGACAGGCAGATGGCGGGGATGAGGGAGAGGAGGGATGGGGGATGGGGAATCGGGACAAGGGGAGGGGGAAGGGAAGAGGTGAGAGAGCGGGCGAAGGTAGGAGGTGGGGCGAATGGGTTTGGCTAGTCCGTTTCCAATCGTGCTCTCCTTCCCCCTGCTTCCCTGCCTGCTTCCCTGCAATTCCCCCCCACCAGCCAACATGTTACCAGACGTGTTGAGGGAGCAGCTAGCGGGCACGCAGCGAGGCGTGTACTTCGGGTGGTGGTGGGTCGAATAGGTTTTCCAATCCTAGTCCGATCGTGCTCTCTCCCCGCTCCCTCCCCTGCCGTTCATGACCAGCCAACATGCTGCCAGACGTGCTGAGGGAGCAGCTAGAGGGCATGAAGCGAGGCGTGTACTGATGTTGGCAAATGCATTACCCAACCCTTGCCCAATTGTGCTCTACTCCCCACCCTCTCCCTGGCCTGCTTCCCTTGCAATTCCCCACCAGCCAACATGCTGCCAGACGTGCTGAGGGAGCAGCTAGAGGGCATGCAGCGAGGCGTGTACTTCGGGTGGTGGTGGGGCGAATGGGTTTTTTAATCCTAGTGTGATCGTGCTCTCCCCCCGCTTCCCTTCCTTGCCCGGCTCCCCTTGCAATTCCCCACCAGCCAACATGCTGCCAGACGTGCTGAGAGAGCAGCTAGAGGGCATGCAGCGAGGCGTGTACTTTGGGTGGGCTACACTGCCCCACCTGGAACGTGAAGGTGAAGGGGCAACAAACAGGGGAGCGGGGGGAGAGGGAGAGGCGAGCGAGGGAGTTCCTCGGGTGTTCAAGATGGTGCTGAACGTTGGCAGGCGACCCACGTTTGTTGACGGGGATGACGTCACCGTGGTACGTGATGACGTCACTGTGAAGAATGATGACGTCATGATAGAGTGTGAGTGCGTTGACGTCATGATGTGCGATGTCATTATGACCTGCCTGCTGCTGTGTGTGTGTGGCGTTTATTGCCATGACCCTGTCGTTGGGAATGACTTGTTGGCCTGTGGTGCATGGTGCCGCCATGCTACTTTACTCCCTCTGGGTATGCCTTTCCTCAAGTGTTGCGCGCTGCAGGAGGTGCAGATCCTATCCTCGTTTGAGGATGACTCTCAATTTAAGAGCTACTTTTGTAAACTCGGATTTTGCATCTCTGACGTCTTTCCATCTTGCCCTGCAGGAGGTGCAAATTCGGTCCTCGTTTGAGGATAATATGTACAATTGTGTCATTTTCCAAAAATCAAATACTGCTGTTGTACCTTCTCCCCGTTTTTATTTCAGGAGGTGCACATTCTATCCTCGTTTGAGGATGATTTTTATGGTGAGGAGCTGCAGGTCGTTGTGCTGGGCTACATCCGTCCAGAAAGAAAGTTCTCCTCGCTAGGTGAGAACCCATAATTGCTCCCGTCGCGCCTGATCGATATCATTGCTTGTCAAACTTGCAATGCTGGGCTACATCCGTCCAAGAAGAAAGTCTTTTTGCACTGGGTGGAATACATTTTTTCCACGTGTTGACGTGAGTCTTCCCTTCCGTCCTTAAGATTTCTCAAAAGAAGCTCATGTTTTCTCATTCTCATTTTAAAAAGTATCGATCCGATGCTGCAGCGAAATTTCCTTCGATCCCCCCCACCTTCCCCACCCGCTTCCTTTCCCTCCCTCCCTATACACTCTCCCACTTACCCTTTCGACTCCACTTTTTTTTTTTTTGTGGTCTCCACCTTGCTCATAACACCTCATCATTGCTGCTAACGAGTTCCTTGTCTGCCTTCTTGGCCCCAGTTCCTTGTTAACCCCTGCTATCATAATATTATAAGCTGCTCCCAACACCACCAGTGACTCTTGTCTTGCTTTGCGCATGCACTGAGGCGCAGCTTTCTTTGTTTTTTTTTTTTTAAGATGTGATGCCCCTTGTCTTGCTCGCCTCGCACATGCACTGAATACCTAGATGTTTCCACGTTGAGTTGTTTTCAAAACGGATGATTTTTGCTCGAAGTCTTCAAGTCTCACTCTTTGTGAGCCTTGGCTTCTTTGAATGCTAGCTAAATTTCCCCTCCCTAACCAGTCCCATTCTGTCTTTCCCCCCTTTTGAAATTGTTTTTTCCCAGATGACCTCGTGTCGCAGATCAAATCAGACATTGCAGTTGCCACAAAACAACTAGAGACCGAGGCATATGCACAGTATGCAAGAGACCCTTTTTTTGCATAGACAGCCGAAACTCCAATGTACAAATTACAACTTATGGTCATTGCGTTCTCTATATTCTCCGCTATTTTTTGTACTCTACAATGAGTTAGATTGTAAAAGCATGCAAAAATATAACACCACCCTGAACAGCAGCAGCCGCTGCTGCAGGGAAACATTACCATACACTTAAATCTGCAGATCTGGTCAGCACATGCATACCTCTCATTTCTCCTTCACCTTATCATCCTCCTCACCCCTCTCCTCCCCCTCACCTCCACCCCCTTTTCCTGCCGTCCCTTTCCCCTTCCCCTTGCCTCTCCTCACAAGCCCTTGCTCCGACACAGCACGTGCCCCTGCACCTGCACCCTCGTCATCCCCTGCTCTCCCCTCACTACCCTCACCAGCAGCAGCAGCAGCAGCAGCTGCAACTTCTGCCTCAGCAGCCGTCAGCCTGTCTGTTCTGCTGCTTCCTGCACGCTCAGCAGCACCATCCGCAGCACCGTCAGCAGAGCCAGCAAGGGCAGCTGTCTCTGGTTCCCCTCCGAACCCAAACTCGTTGACGCGCTTCTTGTCGACCGGGTAGATCCAACGCTGGTACAGGAAGATGAGGAAGATGATGTCTGGAGATGTGGGGGAAGGGGAAAGGCGCACAAGAGGGAGGGGGAGTGAATAGGGGTTGGGGAAAGGGGTGGGGTGCTGTAGGGATTGTTGACGCGCTTCTTGTCGACCGGGTAGATCCAACGCTGGTACAGGAAGATGAGGAAGATGATGTCTGCGGATGGGAGTACGGAAAAAAAGGGGGAAAAACGGTGAGTGTGAAATAGATCCTTGACATGCTTCTTAATCGACAGGGTAGATCCAATGCTGGTGCAGGAAGATGAGGAAGATGATGTCTGCGGATGGTAGTAGGGGAGGGGAAGGGGACGGGTGTAAGGGAAAGGGGGTGGGAAAAACAGGGTGGGTGCGAAAGTGAATCTTGACACGCTTCTTGTCAACGGGGTAGATCCAGTGCTGGTACAAGAAAATGTGGAACATTATGTCTGGGTTAACAGAGGGCCGGGAGCGAGGAGAGGGGGGGGCAAGGCACACAGAAAGGAGAAAGTATTGCTCGGTAGATTGCTTTGGGTTGACAAAAGAGCAGTTGCCTTGATAATGAAGGCAAAGAGATTATCCATCCACAATGGTATTGAGGAACAAGCCATCACATACCATCACTTACAGTCAGATGCCATATCACATACAATCACATACCACCATGTACAATCACATACCATCACTGACATACACATACAATCACTCACCATCACACAAAAACATACCATCACATACAATCACATACCATCACATACGATCACATAACATCACATACAATCACATCATGTACTATCCAATTGCATTACTGGCAATCAAGTACCAACCTTGAAGACAGAAAGACGATGCAGCATGGGCATCTTGATGACAAAGCAAAGAGGTCGTCAACGATGGTAATGAGGCACACGCAAACATGCGGTCACATACCATCACAGGACGTTACTATTCCACACACCATCTCTGAAGACGGTGAGTCGGTGCAGTGTCGGCATCGTGATAACAAAGGCAAAGAGGTCATCGACGATGGTGTTGAGGCGCACACCATCACTCACCATCACTCACAATCGCATACAATCGCTAACAGCCACGCACCATCTCTGAAGACGGAGAGTCGGTGCAGCGTGGGCATCTTGATGACAAAGGCAAAGAGGTCGTCCACGATGGTGTTGAGGAATTTGTACGTCATCTGCCTCCACGGCAGGTGTGCCACCGACTTGAGCTTGTAATTGATGAACAGCTGCGGACACATCATGATGAAGCCTGGTGGTGGCGGTGGTTTGTTAAGGGGCACAGGAAACAGAAACCAGGCGGTTAAGTGGGAGTGGAAGTATGCCACGCAGGGAGGGAGGGAGCACCACGGACTTGACCTTGTAGTTTGTGAACAGCTGCGGACCCATCATGATAAAGCCTGATGGTGCAGATGGACTGGTGTGGGAAGGAACGGTGAGGGACGGGTGGGGATAAGTGGATTAATGCCCGCGGGCCAAGCAGTTCAACGCTAGGAGGGTTGGTTGGGGCGAGCAATGCAATTGGCCAAGGTTTAGGGTGCCAGGTTGACACTCAACCGAATTTAGGAAGGTTTGAACCAATTTGGACGGTTTTTAAACAAGACGGGTGATCAGCCAACCACGGCAGGTGCTCGACGGAATCGAGCCTGGTGGTCGTTGTAGAATCACAAAATCTGGACACAATTGGCAATGTAGGGAACGAGATAGGAGTGAGGTCAGAGAGAGTGAATGGCTAGAGAAACAGGAAGAGAGAAGAGCAAGGTAAGATACCCCCTTCCCCGAGAACAGGGAAGGGGGGTGTATGTATATATATATATATAAATATATATAAAACCCAGTATTTTGAAGCTCACCAAAGGTGTAGACGCAGCCAGTGAGCGAGTTGAGAACCCAGGAGTACCAGCTCTTGTGCGTCTCGTATATGAGCGAGTACACGGCGTAACCAGCAACGAGCGGGTAGAGTGCATAGGAGAAGTAGCGCATAGCGATGGCATCATATTCTTTCGTCTTGTTGCGCGCGTACGACTCGCGATCCCTGAACCTCACCCAGGGAATGCTACCCGAACGATCAATCTGAGGGGGGGGAGGAGGGGGTAAAGGGAGGGAAGGGAGGGATACAGGAAAGGGCGGGACAGAGTGGTGGAGTGTATGAGTTCTGGTGGTCTGTGAAGCACGGGCGAGTAGGTTGTGGAATGGGCGGCCACGAGTGGGTAGAGTGCATAGGAGAAGTAGCGCATGGCGATGGCGTCGTACTCCTTGGTCTTGTTGCGCGCGTACGACTCGCGGTCCCTGAACCTCACCCACGGGATGCTGCCCGAACGATCAATCTGAGGGAGGTTGGAGGGGGAGGAGGGAGGGGCAAGAGAAAGAGAGGGACGAGGGAAGGCCGGGAGAGAATGATGGAGTGTTTGACTTCCAGACAGTGAAGCACGGGCGAGTAGGTGGTGGAATGGGCGGCAACGAGTGGGTGGAGCGCGTGGGAGAAGTAGCGCATGGCGATGGCGTCGTACTCCTTGGTCTTGTTGCGCGCGTACGACTCACGGTCCCTGAACCTCACCCATGGGATGCTGCCCGAACGGTCAACCTGGTGGGACACAGAAGGGAGAGAGAAAGGTGAGGAGCGGGAATGAAGGACAAGGGGGGGAGAGTGTGATGGAGCATACAACTCGCGGTCCCAAACCTTCTATCTCTTCACCTCCCATTGGTCCACTTTCCTCCCCATTCAGTCTTAACCCTCTCCCCCTTTTCTCAACCCCCTCACCTCCATTCCCACCCCCGCCCCCCCTTTCGACCCATGCATCAACCTCACCTCGACGTGCATGGCCTTGCCGATCTTCCAGAACTCGATCCCACAGGAGATGGCGGAGGAGATGAGGATGAGCCACGACGTGTTGTTGTCCAGCAGGTACAGGAAGATGATCAGCTGGCACACGAAGTTGATCACCACTGACCGCGCTGATAGACCCTCCATTGACTTGTTCTGGTTCCAGAACGCAATGTCTGGGGCATGAAGGGGCGGGGGGGAGGGTCGCAGGGTAAGGAGGCACCAGGTAGAGGAATATGATGAGCTGGCACACGAAGTTGATCACCACGGAGCGTGCGGACAGACCCTCCATTGACTTTTTCTGGTTCCAAAACGCGATGTCTGGGGCGTGGGGACAGGCGAGGAGGAGAGGGGAGGAGGGAGGAAAGGAGGAGCGGTGAGGAGAAGAGGGGAGAAGAGGAAAGGGGAGGAGGAGAGGGGAGGAGAAGGAAGAGGAAGGGGAGGGGAGAGGAGGGGATGAGGGGAAGAAGGCAGCAGGTAGAGGAAGATGATGGGCTGTCACACGAAGTTGATCACCACCGAGCGAGCGGACAGGCCCTCCATTGACTTGTTCTGGTTCCAAAACTGGATGTCTGGAGCATGAAGGGGCGGGGGGGAGGGCCGCAGGGGAAGAAGGCAGCAGGTAGAGGAAGACAGGGACAAGGTGTCACACAGAGACAAGGCATGCTACACCAAGGAGCATGCCCGCCACATACCGTTTTTGAAGGCGAAGAAGTCAAAGACGGAGTGCAGGATGGACACCACCACTGTGATACCCAGCAGAATGGGATTGCCCTCCAGGAACACCCTCAAGGGACGGGAAACAGCATGCTACATCAATGCGCACGCACACACATGGCGATTTTGCCTGCACGCAGCATACCGTTTTTGAAGGCGAAGAAGTCAAAGACGGAGTGCAGGATGGACACCACCACCGTGATTCCCAGCAGAATGGGATTGCCCTCCAGGAACACCCTCAAGGGACGGGAAACAGCATGCTACATCAATGCGCACGCACACACATGGCGATTTTGCCTGCACGCAGCATACCGTTTTTGAAGGCGAAGAAGTCAAAGACGGAGTGCAGGATGGACACCACCACTGTGATACCCAGCAGAATGGGATTGCCCTCCAGGAACACCCTCAAGGGACGGGAAACAGCATGCTACATCAATGCGCACGCACACACATGGCGATTTTGCCTGCACGCAGCATACCGTTTTTGAAGGCGAAGAAGTCAAAGACGGAGTGCAGGATGGACACCACCACTGTGATACCCAGCAGAATGGGATTGCCCTCCAGGAACACCCTCAAGGGACGGGAAACAGCATGCTACATCAATGCGCACGCACACACATGGCGATTTTGCCTGCACGCAGCATACCGTTTTTGAAGGCGAAGAAGTCAAAGACGGAGTGCAGGATGGACACCACCACCGTGATTCCCAGCAGAATGGGATTGCCCTCCAGGAACACCCTCTGGAGTGCATTGGCCGTCAGGGAAAAGAAGCAGTGGATGCACAGGGGAGCAGAAGGAAACGAGGCTTATTTTATTTTCCATAGGAGAAAAGCGTCATGAAAGTTCACTCTCTCCACAGGTATCGACGTGAAAGCGCCTCTATGAAACGGAAAAGAACGAGAAAGCCAAGGAGGGAGTGAGGTGTGGCCGGGGGGCGGGAGGGAGGAGGGGAGGGGGGCGGGGGGGTTGGGGAAGAGGGGGAGCGGGGAGAAAGAAGATACCATTCAGTAGTGCAAACTATCCAGCCAGGCAACAGAGCACCCAACTGCACCGCTCAGCTCCCCACCGACCCAACCGTTCCCCACCTTGAGCTCATCTGATTCTGACTCCATGGCGGTGCCGAACTGCTGCTGCAGCTTGAAGGACTGGTCCATGGAGAGGTAGATCTGCCAGCGCCACAGCGGCAGCGTCTCCACCACGAGGGAGAGTGGGACTTTGGAGACGGTGCTGTTGAGCTGAATGAGCTTGTCCCGCAGCAGCCAGAACTCGTTCATGTGCAGCGTGGGAAAGTAGTTGCCGGAATTTTCATCAAACGTCATGTCTGAGGGCATAAACGTTGGGGGGGGGGAAGAAGGGGAGAGAGGGGAGGGAGATGGGGAGAAAGGGGGGAGAAGAAAACGGGGAAAAGAGGGTAGAAAGAAAGCGGAGGTGAGAGATCGCAGGTGGTGGGAGAACAGGTGACTGGTATAAGAGACGGAGCTGTTGAGCTGGATGAGCTTGTCTCTGAGAAGCCAGAACTCGTTCATGTGCAACGTGGGGGAGTAGTTGCCTGTCCCTGCATCAAACGTCATGTCTGGGGGAAGTGTAGGCGAGAGTTGGGGGGAGATGGACAAGGGGGGTAGAGGAGGGGTTGAGGGGACGAACATGTGGAATACGCAATGACTGGTATAAGAAAAGTTGTCGCTAGTCAGGGCGTGCTTGCACTTGGAAAGTCAGGGCTCATTCGCGCGGAGTATGAGGAAATAGTTGCCTGCCTCTCAGGGTCGAATGGCATGTCTTCTTGGAGCGACACATGACAAATACCTGAGAAGCCTCAGGCAACTAAATTATTTACATTGTGAAACAGGCTAAATAGTGGACTGAAACAAGGTGGAGGCGCAGGCATTGCAACGTCGACTCATGTGGTGTGCATTGATAACTGGTGCCACTGTCACAACCAGGAGTGAGTGCAGTGTGGCACTCACGCTTGTGGAAAATCTCCGGAATTGCCGTTCGAGGATACCTGCGGGAGAAGAGGTCAGGGAGATAGAGGGAAAAACATGAAAATGAGGACACAGGAAACCTCTAGGTGGGAAACTCAGCCCAGAGTCCACTTCCCGAACCTTGCTAACAAGCAGATTAAAACTCAAATAAAAACTCAGACAAAGTTGCGTTCTTGCTCACGCGAAAAACTAGCGTGCAGTACACTCACGCAGTGAAGTCGTCAATAAGTGAAATGGTCAGATTCGGCTTCCAAAAGCCAATCCACTCCACTTCCTCTGGTACCGCTGCTGCTGCTGCTGCTGCGTCACCTTTCCCCTCACTCTCTGCTGCTGCCTTGGGAGATGGCGGAGGTGGCTGCAACGCAGAGAGTTCGTGCACAGAAAACGGGAGTTCGCACGCAGAGAGTTTGCACACAGAAAACCGGAGTCACAATGACCAATTATCAATGTGCGTGTGTGGGAGACCGGGGGGGAGGGGGTTGGGCAGGTGAGTCAGTTTCTGGAAGAAGGACGAGCGTGCCCGTGATGGTGTCTGCATCTGTGTGCTTCTGGGCGTGTACTGCAGCCAAACGCAGAATTATCACTTGCGTCCTATTATGCCTGCTTGCATATGATGTAGAACCACTGCATCTCGTGGTTACTGGTAAACACAGCAGTTGCTGGGTCCGGAAGGAAAGCAGCCAGAGGAATTGACTGACCTCGCCAGCAGTATCATTCGCATCTGATCCCCCTCCCAGGAGCCGCTTCCGTGTGTCCACCTTTGGCCGAGGATAATACGCAACTAGTGCTGCAGAGTCACAAGGGAGAAAAGGGGGATACATATGGGACATGAGAGTGGAAGTAGGAAGAATGAGGTTCACATGGGATCATGTGCTGTGCTGCACTGACAAGCACTGAATCAGGATGAGAGGGACACAGTGGGGCCCAGAAAGTGAAGAGGCGAGTAAGAAGACGGAAGTCCTGTGACAGCTTACGGTGGGTCTTAGAAAACGTTGAGAATCGCTCATAGAGCTGATCTGTTGGGTCTGGCGAGTATCCTGACTTCGCAAAGAACACATGTGCGAAGACAGTCCCATTGCCCTCCGTCACAGCCTGGTAAAACAAGAAAAAACACAATGCATAGTCCGTAAAGGGGTAAAACGAGGTGTTAGCAGCAGAAACCTGATGAGACAGAACTAAGAGTTCGGGAAGGAAAGGGATGCTTTACGGAGTTTCAGGGTACAGGGTTCAAATAGTTCGGCAGAAACGACTTACAGATCGGGGGATTGCGACTGGTTTACCTTGGAAGGATAATAGGTAAACTCAAGGGTCCTTCGAGCCGCAGGAGCATCATACATCGTGTACGGTATTCCGGACTCCGTCCATACAAGTGCCGACTCGTCTTGGAAATTGCTGAACTTTTCAGACTCTGTTATGTACACCCACATATCCTGATAGCGAGGAAGATACGTGTGAAACGGGATGGCGCAACTCATCAAACTCACAACAGAATTTGAAAGCTGCACACAAGAGCAGCACATACAACTCCTGAGAGCGAAACAGCTACCCTCTAACAAGGTCGACACCCGTAAATACCCGCCACCCACAGATTCAAGCTAGAGGCGTCTACAATGGGCCGTCGATCTAGAGAAAAAGTGTGGGCACAATCTACGGATCTGGATAAACATGGATACACCGACGATTACTCCGCCGATTACTCCATGAGAGACCTGAGAACGAGGCGAAATGGATCAATCTACCGCGCATGTCTGAGGAGCTGCGACACTCACCAAATCCTCTCCTTTCCGAAAAAGGTTCCGAGAAATCAGGCTGGATCCTTGGGTGGTTTCTTGAAAAAGAAATTGCTGATCATGTACCAGAACATAGCCATGCGAATCATGGACATGATCGGGTTCTGCTGTTGCTGCTGCTGCTGCTGCTGGCGCTGTCCGCCTGCTGCAGCGCCTCCAGCGGCAACGGCTGCTGCACCTGCCGCGGCGACAGCCACATCTTGACGAGCAGGCATGTCGACGACTCACTCTACTAAGAATCTGGGCGCAGAAGTGGCTTCGCGGGAAAAAAAAAGGTCGAAACCGACGGAGAGAATCCAGATCTGAACACCTCCAGCACGGGAGTCTCCCACTCTCGACTTCACAAGTCGAACCACACGAAGAGGGAGTGAGCTGATGTAAGGTTGTGCTGATGGGAGTGAAGGGAGGATCCCGAGGGTCATATAAATTTTGTTCCGAGAAACTTTCTGTGGAGATAATAATCAAAAGCTTCATAATATGCAGAACAGCACAGATAATCAGCTATAGATTGTGCATTATGTCGTCTTTCATCTAAACTGTTTTGGAATGTTTGAGTCAATGTACAACTGAGGCCTTGCACCCACATGTGTTGTGGGATTTCTTGATATCGAGCCAATCCGTCTTCTGACGACCTCCCAAGTTGTCACGTTCTCCATTTCATCTTTCCGAGTTGAACTTCATATAGCGTTCCCTTGAAGCCCCTTCAAGGAACAAATGCTCGTCCACTCCTCCCAACAAGCAAGGGAGGAGCGAGAGCATCATCAACGGATAGCTTTACGACATTCTTCTCGTTGTCGACCAGGCGATGTGGAGGTTTACTCGCAAGCGAGAATGTTTCAACGTCTCTGGGTCCGTTTCATTTCCGTAGCTCGCTGTAGTGGCGTCATGTTCAGAACGTTTGACGTATTTTCTTTCGCCTTTCCAGGAGCTTGAAGCGACAGTGCGTCGCATCTGCTGCTCCCAGTATTCCTCTCCAGTATTCAGAAAGAGAGCTGAATGATGTCAAGCATTATGACAAAGTCTTTGCTTCCGCGTGGGTCGACCATTCCACATTCGTCATTGGGACTAAAGACAACAAACTTATTCGTTGGGACACAGACACCGGAAAGCATGTAAAAATACCTCTTCCTGATTCACCAGAACCAAGACATCGCGACCGCCAGGATAACTGTGGCATTCATTCCATGTGGGTCCATGCTCTGGTTCTTGTTCATGCAGCATTTAACTTTGACAATGCTCTAATTTTGACTTTTATATCGCTACAGAGCTGTCAATCCGTCACGCACACTCTTGGCGACCGGAGCCTCAAATCCAGACGATGTTGCCATCTTTAAGCTGCCTTCGTTTGACCCTGTTGCCATTCTTCAGGTTGGTTTGTCTTCAGGTTATCTTTTGTCAGCATTTTGGCATATCATAACTTGGCAGCTCCAAGTTCCTTGTGCAGAGTCACGAGAACTGGATGTTTGCTGCTGCTTGGGTTGGCGACAGTCACCTTATTACAGGTTTGCATCTATCAATCATTGGCATCAGCTTTGCTTCTCGTGCTGAGAATCTATAGTCTTTAAACACCTGTTTGACGAGCCGCTTTGTTCTCTTATTCAGGCTCTCGAGATTCTACTGTTAAATTATGGTCGATTTGTTCTGACGAATTTTTGAACCAGTCACCTATAGTTACCCGTACGGATCATGACGACAAAGTCAGAGATCTCAAGTACTGCACGGACACGGAAGTGGGTTGAAGGGTCTGGACGACACTGCAGCAATCTGTTTCTGGGGACATGAGCTAACCTGAATGTTCTGCTTGTTGCCAGACAGTAACAACATTGAGTCAGGATGGCACGTGCAAGCTGTGGGATCCACATGAGATGCTCGTGGTAAATTATATCTTCTCTTGTGTTTATTCTCTTACATGTGCTTTCCTGCAGTTGTCACATTGCATTTTCTTTGTACTGTGCTCCCGTGCAGGTGTCATCAATAAGATGCCCGGATCCAAAGGAGCTGGTTTGCATGGCTGTTAAAGCTCCATTGGTGGCTGTGGGGTCACAACGGTTTATAACCTTTATTGACATGCGGTGTGGACACGTGGTGAAGTCAATAGCATCCGCTGATGAAGGATGGGGTACATATTAGTTCTTCATTTCTGGATCTCGGCAATTTTCCATTTCTGACTCCTTATTTCAGGTGTGCGGTCTTTGAGTTTTCAAGATAACGTCGTGACATGTGGAGGAGGCAAGGGTCGGCTCTCGTTTCTTGATACAAGAACGCAGAAGTATATACGAATTCGTGAGTCAACATGGAAATAAATGGTCGATGATTTTTTGTGCCAGCATGGATAAGTCACCAGTTCCGTTCGCTCTGAACCTCAGGTGAAATAAATGACAGCAGCTGTACTGGGGAGAACCACATGGACACCATATCATACTCCACAGGCCCAGGACATGTGGTGAGAAACAATTTACCATAGGAGACTACTTTTCTCCAATTTACCTCTCTCTCTCTCTTTTTTTTTTTTTTTTTTTTTTTTTTTTTTTTTTTTTTTTTTTTTTTTTTTTTTTTTTTTTTTTTTTTGTGGTAGTCCACGTTTCAGCTTGGAATACTGTATGTGCAGGTGAAAGACCAAGTCTACGCCGAGCACTTTGCGGGTCAAGATATTAAGCATGCCGTGTACACACACTCACAAGACTTCAGTGGGACCTCACTTCTGGTTGCTGGAGGCCCTCTTCCTTACGGATTGAAAGGGAGCTATGTTGGTATCTGGTGAATCTGCTGTAGAACTATTTATTGATGACGTTCTGATGTGGAGTATGTATATTTACTTGTAAAAACCATTTTATATTTTTTCTGGCACCTCACACTACTCACTCACCAAACTCTGCTCAAATTGGGGCAGCAAAATGTCAGAGTTGTTTTCGCTCAGCAAAGAGCTCATTATCATGTTCTCTAACCTCATGTCAACACTCACTTTCTGACACATTCCGCTCACTCCATCCCTCCACTCCGGCCTTTTCTTACTTCGGTCGTACAGGACATGGCTGGTGCCAGTACATCTAGTATGCCTGCCTCTAGACTCGATCGTATATACCTATCCAACTCATTTCTTCCCCGAGTCTCTGAGACCTCCTATACCTACACATCCACAAAGGTCTCTGACCATTGCTCCCTTATCTTCAACAACCCGGCCATGGCACCGCGCCCATGGCGGTTCAGCTCGTCCCTCCTGCACCGTCCCCAAGTCGCTGCCATCATCGACTCTCACCTCTCTTCTCTGCCCTCACGCCTCTCCTCTGAGGCATGGGACTCCTGGAAACAATCCTTCACCCTCAGTCTCAAACGTTTCTCGAACCAAGAGCGTCGACGTGTTACCGGCACAATTGATCACCTTGTGCAGCTTATTAGCCCAGTCTGCCCTTTCCCCACTTGATTCTGATGCAGCCGCTCAACTCCTCAAAGCCTGCCAGCATCTCACAAAATACGAAACCGCTAAAATTGCTGAACTCGCTCTCAAGGCAAAGCTCAAAGTTGAGAGCCATAGGGAGATGGGGATTTCCTCCCTTCTGGCTGGCCTTAATACCCGCATTAAAGATTCTTTAATCACCTCACTTACGCTACCAGACGGCCAGATCACCTCTGACCTTCGAGCCATGACCGCAGAATGCACTAGATTTTTCCAGTCTCTCTATTGCGGAGCAACTCCGGGTATGCCAAACCCCTCCTTCTGGGCACATATCCCCCCCTCCTCACTCCCTCCCAACCTCTTTAGTCGCTTAGAAGCCCCCTTTTCACTCTTGGAAATAAGCAAAGCCATTGGGCAACTCTCCCATGGCAAAACCTCCGGCCCCGATGGCCTTCCGGGGGAGCTATTTCGACATCACAAGACTCGTTTCGCTCCTGCTTTCCATTCACTCCTCTCTTCACCTCCCATCTCGGCAGCCCTCCCACTGTCAATGCTCTTAGGCCGCACCGTTCTAATCCCTAAGAGAGGCGACTCTTCTCTGGTTGAGAACCTTCGGCCCATCACCCTCATGAACTCGGATTATAAGGTGCTAGCTATCTGCCTTGCCAATCGAATGCAACTTGTTCTCCCAAGGCTTATTCATCCCTCACAGACCGCGTTTATCAAAAATAGGAAAATTGGCGATACGATCAACGACACTCTCGATATCTTTGACTTGAGTACAACCACCCGGTCCCCCCTCCTCGCTCTGACTGTCGACTTCCGCAAAGCCTATGATATGGTCGACCGTGCCTTCCTACTCCGAGCGCTCGCTGTTTTGGGACTTCCTGAGCAGTTTACTGCTTGGGTCCGCCTCATGCACACCAACACCTCCACCTGCGTCTCTGTCAACAACCTTGCTGGGCCTTCCTTCCCAGTTCGCACGGGGGTCCGACAGGGATGCCCTCTCGCCCCCCTCCTTTTTGTTTGTGTTATTGAAATCCTTCAGCGCTACCTCTCCCTCTTCCTCCCGGGATTCCCCCTCTCTGCGACGCAAGGCCGACTCATGGCATGTTATGCTGACGATGTCATAATTTTTCTCTCATCCGTCAGGGAGCTTGGGACCACACTTATACACCTTCGGGTTTTTGCCGCCGTCTCTGGCGAGCATCCCAACTGGAATAAATGCTCAATTATTCCCTTCTTCACTGACCCGGCACAGATCCTCCTGGCTGGCCCCATTCCCATTCGCACACCCCAAGAAGCAGAGCGTATTCTTGGTATCTACGTCGAACAAGCACAACCGGGTGCTACCACTTGGTCCATGACCCTTTCGCGCATCCAGCGTACAACAAAATTCCTTGCAGCCCTACGCGCTACTGCCACCTGCCGCAAGACGCTTGCATCGGTGTTCCTTAATTCCATCCTCTCCTTCCCTGGCCGCTTTCAACCCCCCTCCTCTGACATCATAAAGCGGCTTGACGTCACAGTCGGGAACTTCCTATCCTCTTCTAGATTCAAGGAACATGGCCTTGGGGTCCGCCTCATCCCCAACCGCCTCCTTTACAACTCCATTCGTCACGGCGGTCTTGGGGCAGTTGCCCCCTCCACTCAAATTCGTGCCCTTGCCACCCAGCGTGCGTTGCGCCGCTTTGGTGTTTCACCGTCAGAGGAGGTGGCGAGAACCGCCGTCTGTCTCCCTTTCGGCACCCATTTTTTTCTAGCACACCCTGCCATCCTCCAATCGGGTATTCTCCCTATAGACACTCCGAGCCGATCGCTTGCTGAACTTCAGGCACTAATCGACATTTCTCATGGCATTTCCCCTCCTCGCCTTAACCCAATGTGCATAATGGCCGAACCCACCGCCTTCAACCGATTCATTCTTAAATCAAATGGGAAGCCATTTGGAATTCTTCCGCGTGAACGTTTCCTCCTGTCCTCGCAAGTTCGTGTCGGCAACTTGGTATCAATCATTTTCTACTCACTCGGTCTGGTCTCTTTCAAGGACTTTGTATCCTCGTGCTCCCCCGCAAACACCCCCTCTGGACGAAGAGTTTGGCGGGACCTTATTCGCGCCATCCCCAAGACCTGGTGGGTGGCTCTTCGCTCCCCCCCTCCCCCTATTGCAGCCCCTGGGGAGTGGTTCCTCCCCACGAAAGACGCCGACTCTTCCCCTACACTCGCTCTCCAAGTTTCCTCGTTTTCCCCCCCATTCTCACTCTCTGCTACTCTCCACCGTGTCCTTCCCAACCGGCTCATTATCCGTGTCAGATTATGTTATTTGTCTAGCCTGCAGTGGGGTGCTCAATAGTGAGTACAACCCCTTAGGGTTTCCTATATGTATCCTGCTGCTTGCTAGTTCAATCCATCATTCCCATTCTCACTTCTCTAATTCTCCTTCGCATATCCAAAACCCTAGTCCTAGGGCACATCCTACTACCTCTTAGTGTGGGCCTAGGCTACTAAGCCTAGGCCCCACTCCTATTGTTTCTAACATGGCATCAGAGCGAGCACGTTCCTGCCGCTTACCTCAATGGGCCCACCACCTCACTGCTTCCGCTGCTACTGCTACTCTGTGTGTTGCACGCCCCATGGCGTGCGACGGATTTTTCATCCCGCCGCGCGCTCGGAGCGTGCGGCGGTTTTCTGCCCGCCGTGCGCCCCGAGGCGCGCGGCGGTTTTCTGCCCGCCGTGCGCCCCGAGGCGCGCGGCGGCTTTCTGCCCCGTCGCCCCCGCGTCGCCCCGTGTCGTTCCCGTCGCCCGCGGACCCCCGTTCCCGTCGCCCGCGGCCCCCCCCATTCCCGTCGCTCGCGGCCCCCGTTCCCGTCGCCCGCGGCCCCCCGTTCCCGTCGCCCGCGGCCCCCCGTTCCCGTCGCCCGCGGCCCCCGTTTCGTCGCCCCGCGCCCCCCCTTTCGTCGCCCCGCGCGGACGCCAGCGCCACGGCCAGCCGCGAGCGCCAGCGCGGCCCGTACGGACTGCGCCAGGCCAGGGCGCGCCTCGAGCCGCCCGCCACTGCAGCAGCCGCCCCTGGAGTCGCCTGCCACAGCAGCAGCCGCCCCTGGAGCCGCTCGCCACTGCAGCAGCCGCCCCTGAAGTCGCCCGCCACAGCAGCAGCCGCCCCTGGAGCCGCCCGCCACTGCAGCAGCCGCCCCTGGAGCCGCCCGCCACTGCAGCGGCCGCCCCTGGAGTCGCCCGCCACTGCAGCAGCCGCCCCTGGAGTCGCCCGCCACAGCAGCAGCCGCCACCGGAGTCGCCCGCCTCTGCAGCAGCCGCCTCTGGAGCAGCCGCCACTGGAGCCGCCGCCCCTGGTGCAGCCGCCCCTGGGCCCGCGACGCCGCCCCTGGAGCAGCCGCCCCTGGCCCCTGGAGCAGTCGCCACTGCTGCAGCTGCCCCCAGAACCTCAGTCGCCGCCCCTGGAGCAACCGCACCAGCAGCAGCCGACCATGCAGCTGCCCGCGACGCCGCTCCTGGACCCTGTGCAGTCTCGCTCAGTCTCACCCGCGCCCTTGTGCGCTCTACCCTACCTGCTCCGCGCTGTTGCTCTGCACGCGCGGTTGCCCGCGCCCTCGTGCGCCCTACCCTACCTGCTCCGCGCTGTTGCTCTGCACGCGCGGTTGCCCGCGCCCTCGTGCGCCCTACCCTACCTGCTCCGCGCTGTTGCTCTGCACGCGCGGTTGCCCGCGCCCTCGTGCGCCCTACCCTACCTGCTCCGCGCTGTTGCTCTGCACGCGCGGTTGCCCGCGCCCTCGTGCGCCCTACCCTACCTGCTCCGCGCTGTTGCTCTGCACGCGCGGTTGCCCGCGCCCTCGTGCGCTCTACCCTACCTGCTCCGCGCTGTTGCTCTGCACGCGCGGTTGCCCGCGCCCTCGTGCGCTCTACCCTACCTGCTCCGCGCTGTTGCTCTGCACACGCGGTTGCCTGCGCCCTCGTGCGCTCTCCCGCCCCGCCCCCCCCCCCCCCCCCCCCCCCTGGGTCCCCTGGACAGGAGGGTGTGGGGGTGGCGGGTGTGGGGGTGCTCCTTGTGCGTCGCCCCTACCTTCTCCTCCGTCTCCCACTGCTGCAGCTGCCGCTGCGGGGGGGTGGATGTGTGGGAGACGAGGGAGTGGCGCTAAGGGGGTGATGTGGGCGAGAAGCGAGTGGTGACACTGGGGGTGAGTGTAGGGGGGAGTGAGACAGTTGGAGGAGGTTGCAGCCTGGTGCTCCTGGTGCCCGTGTGTCTGCAACTTCAGTAGTCGCCTCCTCTCTTCTCTCCCTCCACAGTTCCTCCTCCTCCTCACTGGCCTCCTGTGACTGCCACTAGCTTTGCTGATAATTGTGAACTATTGCTGTGACTTCTCACGTGTGCTGATTACACCCCACTTTGGCTATGGGGGTGTGTCAGATTATGTTATTTGTCTAGCCTGCAGTGGGGTGCTCAATAGTGAGTACAACCCCTTAGGGTTTCCTATATGTATCCTGCTGCTTGCTAGTTCAATCCATCATTCCCATTCTCACTTCTCTAATTCTCCTTCGCATACCCAAAACCCTAATCCTAGGGCACATCCTACTACCTCTTAGTGTGGGCCTAGGCTACTAAGCCTAGGCCCCACTCCTATTGTTTCTAACAATCCGTTCATCCATCGGAGCTGGCACCTTTCACATAGGTGACCTCACCGCGGTCCACGTCGTCGGATCCTGGCTTGCAGGTCCGTACTATACAGGTGCAGGTCTCGGCGCGCGGCTCGACATCTTACAAGACTGGTGCCCCAGTGTAGCTGACCTTCGTCGTCGCCTCTACACCCAGCGGCCCCTTGACCATGACGTCCGTTGGATCCGCGCCCTCCCCTCTCCTCCTACTCTCGTCCCGAACTACTCCCCTGATTTTTTTACGAGAACAACCCAGCCTACACCGCGACATCCTGTGTCAGTATAACTGAACGAGGAATGAATGAACTAGCTCAGAGTTTGGTACAAGTAGGAAACCCTAACTTTGTGTACCCCCTAAGGTGTAACCCACTACAGCCTACACAATATAAACATACAATGTTTGACACACCCCCATAGGCGCAGTGGGAGACAACCACAGGGTCATGAGACCAGTCAAAGCAAAGCAAAGCAAGCTCAGGGTGGATCTCAAGGATACCACACAAATTCTGAGCACAAGCAAGTGGTCACAAGACCAGTTCACATGCAGTTTCATAATATAGCAAGAGATATAATGATCACAACCTAGCAGGTGTAAACATGCAGGTATATATATATATATATAAGATCACAGTACAAGCAGAGTCAAGAAGTAAGCAAGTGAGGTCCAGCAGGCACAAGGCCTAGAAGAGTACAGAAACGCTGATGGTCACAAGGCTGAAGCGCCTTGGTGAACACATCAGCAAGGTTGGCCTCAGTGGCCACGTAACGCAGACAAAGCTGACCACGCTGCTGCAGCTCTCGAGCAAGGAAGTACCGCAGGGCGATGTGCTTCGTTCTGTGCTCCAGTCTGTGCTCCTCACACAAGGCAATGGCAGCCTGGTTGTCGACGTACAGCACTGGAGGAGAACGAGGCCGCTCTCCCAAGTCGGTCAGCAGGTAGGTCAGCCAGCGTAGCTCCTGGGCAGCCATGGCTGTGGCGTAGATCTCAGCCTCACAACTGGAGCTGAGAACAGAAGAAGAGCGTGTAGAACGCCAAGAAACTGAGCCGGAGCCAAGGCTGAAGCTGTAACCCTAAGACGACCGCTGAGTAGCCTGGTCGTCCGCCCAAGAAGCGTCTGAGTGTCCAGTAAGTACAACTCGGTCTCGCCCTCCAAGCACTAGCCCCATGCCCGACGTACTGCACAAGTAGCGCAACACCCTCTTAGCGGCATCCATGTGCTCCTTCCTGTGACGGCCAGGAGCGACATAGCGTGCAAGGATGCTAAGAGGGTATGCAAGGTCAGGTCGAGTGCAGGTCATCAGGTACATGAGGCAGCCCACAAGCTCTGAATACGGGCCACTCGGCTCTACGGACTCATCTGAAGGTAGAGCTGAGAGCGAGTGACCGGTAGGCAGAGGAGTGGACTGAGGCGAGGAGTACGTGAAGCGGAAGCGCTGAAGGATCTGCTGCACCATGTGTGACTGAGTCAAGGTGATGGTGCGCCGTGCTCTGTCCCGAGTGATCCGCAAGCCAAGATAGCTTGTTAGTTCACCCAGGTCTGTGCACGTGTGTCTCCTCTGCAGCTCCGACTTCACGTGGGCGAGTGCCGCGGTGTCAGCAGTGGCAAAGACCAAGTCGTCGACGTACACGAGGATGTAGAACGGCGGCAGCGAGGTGTCTGTGCGTAGAAACAGTGACGGGTCAGCAGTGGAGGGAGCGAACCCAAGAGCCGCAAGTGTCGTCCTCAGTGTGTCGTGCCACTCACGCGGTGCCTGGCGGAGACCGTAGACCGGCCGCTGAAGCCTCCACTGGGTACCAGGAGGAACCGACCCAGTGAAGCCAGGAGGGCGGCGCAGCCAGATCTCCTCGTGCAGGCTGCCCTGCAAGAAAGAAGTGCTGAAGTCAAGTGAGTGAAGCTCGTAGTCGCGCTGAGTGGCTATGTGCAGCAGCACCCGAAGAGTGGTCATCTTCGGGATGGGGGAGAAGGTCTGAAAGAAGTCAACTCCCTCTCGCTGACTGAAGCCTCGAGCCACGTAGCGCGCCTTGAAGACCGGAGGAGAACCCGGTGGCCGCTTCACCCTGAAAATCCACATGCCACTGACGATGTTCGCCCCAGGTGGGGGAACCTCGTCGACGTAGGTGCGTGTGGACTTCCAGGAAGCCATCTCTGCGTCCATGGCTGTCTGCCACTGAGAGGAGTAGGGACCCGCCATCGCCTCAGCGTAGGTGCGCGGGGTCGGGATGTCTGGTGCATCCGGGTCTCCCTCAGGGGCAACTAGCATGGACACGAGGTGGGGCAAAGCAGCAGCAAAGCACTGGAACTCCTCCTGTCTGTCCTCAAGGACGTCCGTGCCAAGAGCACACTCACCCCCGACGGACGGAGGACAGACAGACTCAGACTCAGACTCAGCAACAAGGCTAGTGGCGTAGTCTAGACGACACCGGGCAGCAAAGTCTATCAACTCAGCGACCAGAGCAGACGCAGCAGAAGACTCAAAGGTAGGGTCAGTGACAACAGTAGCGAGGAGGCGCGTGACAGTGGGACTGGCAGCACGACGGGAGTCAGACTCCGGATCAGGAAGAGTAGGCAGAGAGGACGCAGGAGGAGACGGCAGCGGAACACGCTGAGGAGCAGTGGAGGGACGCAGAGTCATGTAGTGAGTGCCAGGGACAGGAGGAGGACGCTCACGTGGGACACGACGACCAGTGCGAGCAGGACGAACAGGCGACGCAGGACGAGACTCAGGCTCCCGACGCTCTGTAAGACCTCCTGTGGGACCAGTGTAAGGAGAGGGAGCAGGGAGCAGGGAGAGGCGAGGCAGGCGGGAACTGTGACTGCGACTGGACAGGCGGAGGACACGCTACGGAGGGAGGAGGACAAGGAGGAGGAGCCTGACCAAGAACCTGCTGAAGAAGTGGTACGAAGTACGGTCGCGACCGCGTAGCGTCTCCAGAACCAGCAGAGACACCAGCGGCAGGGTCCTCAGCACCAGCAGCAGCTCCACCGTCCGGGTCCTCAGCTCCAGCAGCAGCTCCAACGCCCGGGTCCGCAGCACCAGCAGCAGCGCCACCGCTCGGGTCCGCAGCACCAGCAGCAGCTCCAACGCCCGGGTCCGCAGCACCAGCAGCAGCGCCACCGCCCGGGTCCTCAGCACCAGCAGCAGCTCCACCGCTCGGGTCCTCAGCACCAGCAGAAGCTCCACCGCGCGGGTCCTCAGCTCTAGCAGTAGCCCCAACGCCCGGGTCCTCAGTACCAGTAGCAGCGCCACCCCCAGGGTCCGCAGCACCAGGAGCACCACTCCGAAGACTGCAGCGCCGCGTGTACCACTCTCGGATCTGCTAAATGGGGGGGAGCTCCTGGGCAGGAGGGGAAGTACTGGTACGAGCTCCAGTAGTACCTCTCCGGAGGCGGCAGTACTGTAGGTACCTCTCCTGCAGCTGCCGGGAGGAGAGGGCTCCTCCAGGTGTAGTACGCTCAGGCTCAGCACCCCCAGACTCAGCACCCCCAGGCTCAGGACCTCCAGGCTCAGCACCCCCAGACTCAGCACCCCCAGGCTCAGCACCCCCAGGCTCCGCACCTCCAGGCTCCGCACCCCCAGGCTCCTCACCCCCAGGCTCCGCACCCCTAGGCTCAGTACCCTCAGACTCCTCACGGTCAGGCTCAGCACCCCCAGCAGGACGAGAGTCAACAGCTACCTCGACAGGCTCAACCGGGTCTACCTGGGACACACCTGAGGGAACGGCACCCTGAGGGGGGAGGGGGTCTGGTACCTCAGCAGAGAAGAGGGAGCGGGGCAGTGCGGTAGGGGAAGAGGCGGTAGTAGGGGACGGACTCGTCAAAAGTGACGTCCTGAGAGGCCAGGACACGACGCGAGGTGGCGTGGTAGAACTGCCAACCAGGCGCGTCCGGGACAAAGCCAAGGAAGACACAGGAGACAGCGCGACGGAAGAGCTTGTCCGCGGACGTATCGCGAACAAAAGCTCGAGATCCCCAGACCCGAAAACGCGACGCATCGCCAGCCTCTCCCGTCCAACGCAGTGTCGGAGAAGTCTCCGGTAAGGAGACACGGAGCCAGAGGTTGAGCTGATGCGCAGCGTATCGGACTGCAAACGGCCACAGAAAGTGGGGGGCAGCCGCATGAACCAGGGAGGTACGAGCGACCTCCATGACCAAGCCAATGCGGCGCTCAGCAACCCCATTCTGCTGTGGAGAGGCCGGAAGCGTGAACGACTGCTCAATGCCCTCCTGCTGACAGAAGGCCTCCAAGAGGCCAGAGGAAAACTCTCCACCTCTGTCAGAGTGCAGACGCAGGACAGGGAAGTCGGAGCGGAAACGCTCACGGAGCTGGAGACGAGATCTGCGGATCCAAGGGATCAAGACATCAGGGACGTCACCCTTGGTGCGCAAGGGGAAGACCGTGGTGTAGCGCGAGAAGTCGTCAACAACAATCAGGAAGTACCTCTCCTGACCCTGACCACGGACGCGGGCTGGGCCCCACACGTCCATGTGGAGCGTCTGCAAAGGAGCAGTCGTCGGGGAGAAGGAGGAGGAGTGAGGAGCGGCGCGCTGCCGCCCCTCGACACAGGGAAGACAGGGAGGAGCAGGCGAGGGTGGGAGGGGAGGGAGAACCCTGGGAAGACCAGCAACAAGGTCCCGTTTGTGCATGGCCCGAAGGCGCTGCACAGACGGGTGACCAAGGCGGTGGTGCCAGAGGACAATCTCATGCGCCAGAGAGCGACACGAGCAGGGGGCGGACAGCTGACCTGACGCAGACGCAGACGCGGGCGCAGCTACCTGAGGGGACTCAGTGGTCAGTGTGTACAGGTCCGACCCCGGCTGCCGAGTGAAGGTAGCCAGGTGACGGCCCGTCCGAGCACACGTGCAGTGGGTCACGCGCTCGTAAGCAGGGGTGAACTGGTGAACACCCCCGTCCTGGAGCGCACTACCTGCCACCAAGTTCGTAGAGAACGAGGGGAGGTAGAGGCCTGACAGTGTGCCTGACGGGACCGCAGGACAAGGAAGGACAGTAGAGGAGGTCGCAACGACCGGACCCCCAGAGGGGTCAGCGAGGGAGACAGCAACTGGCCGAGCAAGAGGCTCAAGGACAGTGCGGTCACGAAAGAAACAGCGAGAAGCACCTGAGTCCAGGGTGAAGGTGTGCAGTGCTGCAGTCGACTCAGTACCAGGGGGGACGGACTCACTAGCACCTAGAGCAGCAGCCTCACCAGGACCTGGGGCAGCAGACTCACTAGCACCTAGAGCGGCGGCCGGACAAGGCAGAATGCCCGGGTCGGGCGGAACACGCAAGTACTGAGCACCCTCTCCACTAGCCCAGATATCAACTCCCTTCTTCTCCAAATCAGCCCAGTGGGGCAGGTCAGTGGCATCAGGAAACTGGGCCCGCCACGCGTCAGTAAGGCGCGCGAAACAACGCTGTGTGGGATGCGGCCTCCCACACTGCTGGCCAGTGCGGTCATCAGTGCGAATGACATACGTGCAGGTAAAGCCACGCTGCGCATACCACTCACGGGCGGCCTGAAGCGACGGGGCGGGCTGCTGACTCTGTCCACCGCCAGCGCCTCCACGACCACCACCGCCGCCGCCACCGCCCCGGCCACCTCCACCCCTGCCGCCGCCACGACCACCTCCGCCTCCGCTGCCGCCTCCGCCCCTGCCACCGCTCCCGCCGCTGCTGTCACCACCCCCACTGCCGCCACTAGCCTCTCCAGTCCCACCGCCACCCCCACCGCCACCACTCCCGCCTCCCCCGCCACCACCTCCACCCTTGCCCCCTTTGCCCCTGCGGCGCCCGCTCGGAGCAGACGCAGCCCCGACCTTCTCAGCACCAAGGAGGTCGACAGCAGCAGCAGAGGCGACAGAGGGGAGGAGAGGGGAAGGGGAACACCCCTCAAAGAACGGGGTGCGGGGGTCGCCACGAGAGGTGCCTACAGCGACGATGCTCGCCTCAGTTGCAAGCAATTCCTTCTCGAGGAGGGCAATGGTGAGCTCAGTGGGAGAGCGAGCGAGGAAGTGATCCCTGACTGCGCGCAGAGAGTCAGGGAGGCGGGTGACGATGTGGTAAAGCGTGATCCAGAGCGGGGGGGGGGTTGCTGGCAAGGAACTCGTCAGGCATAGCAGCGCGAAAGCGGGCCTCACTGGTCCTGAGGTGGGTGAAGAGGTCAGCGACTGTGCTGAAGGAGGCCAGGTCGGGGAACAGGTAGGGGAGGGTGAGGCGGCCTAGTGCGGCAGAGGCAGGTGAGGAGTAACGAGCAACTACAGCAGTGTACAGGTCCTTAGCGGTCTTGTGCTGGCCAAAGTGCTCGCGCTCATCTAGTGGCAGGGAGTTGCGAATGGCGAAGCGAGCGTGGGCATCACGAGTCTGCCACTGTGAGCGCTGAGTGCTGTCTGCAGTGGTAGGAGGGGCAGTAGCGTGACCGAGGGCATGATCGTACAGTGAGATGTCCTCCTTGGCAGTGAGCTGTAGGAAGAGATGCAGGTCATCTAGCCAGGTTTCGAACTTCACTGGACGGCCCTCAGCATCGAAAGCGAGTACAGGCGGACTAGCCATAATAGTAGCAGCAGTAGCAGTAGCAGTAGTAGCGGTAGCAGCTGCAGCAGCAGCAGTAGCAGTATCAGTAGAAGCGACGGGGCCGCGAAGAGGCGGTGCGCGGGGTCTATGGGGCCAGCGGGGCCTCTATGCGGGGCGCGCGCGGGGACGACGGGGCCGCGGGGACCTCTAGGCGGGGGGCGCACGGGTCGACGGGGTTGCGGGGCCTCTAGGCGGGGCGTGCACGGGGCCGCGGGGCCACCAGGGGTGGGTCGACGGGGCCGCGGGGTCGCGACACGAGGTGCGCACGGGGCCGCGGGGCCTCTAAGTGAGGGGCGACGGGGCCGCGGGGCCGCTAAACGAGGTGCGCGCGGGTGGGTCGACGGGGCCGCGGGGCCGCTAGGTGAGGGTCGACGGGGCGACGGGGCCGCGGGGCCGCTAAACGAGGTGCGTGCGGGTGGGTCGACGGGGCCGCGGGGCCGCAATCGGGGCGCGCGCGGGTGCGACGGGGCCACTAAGGGGCAGCGTGCGGGGTCGACGGGGCCTTAAGGGGCCGTACACGAGGGCGCACGAAGGCGCGGAGGGGGAGGCGCTAACGCAGCACTCCGACAGTAGGTAGGTAGGTAGTAGAGGTGGGCCCGAAAAAAAAACTTAGGTCCTAGCGAAGGACCTGCTCTGAAACCATGTCAGTATAACTGAATGAGGAATGAATGAACTAGCTCAGAGTTTGGTACAAGTAGGAAACCCTAACTTTTGTACCCCCTAAGGTGTAACCCACTACAGCCTACACAATATAAACATACAATGTTTGACAGTGCTCTTCCCTCGGGCTCTCGGTTCCCTTTTGCTGCCGATCGAGGGACATGCTCACTTTGCCCTTCTGCTCCTACTGAGACTATTTCCCACATCTTCTACGAATGCGGGGTGGCTCCTGCGGTGATTTCCGCCCTCGCATCTGTCGCTCGCCGCCACCTCTACTGCTCTCCTCCTCCTGAGCTCTTGCTCTTTCCGCTCGCCTCGAGGGCTGGCCAGGTGGCTCCCTGGAGCCTTCTGGTAGGTGCATCTGCAAAGGCCATTTGGAATGCGCGCTGTGATCATAAATTCCACGACTCCCCCTCCTCCCGTTTCGATACTCTCCAGTTCATCCAGGCACAATTCATCCTAGCTTTCAAAATCTTCCTCTGGCACAGGAAAAAACAATCAGTTAAGCAGGGCCTGTGCTAGGATTTAGGGCACCCTGAGCCCTCAGGGTAACTTTTGAAATTTTTCTTAAATGCCCTGATTTTCCAGGGCAAAATTCCCTGGCCATCCTGAAATTTCAGGGCACCAGCAGAAATTCATCCGGATGATTCAGGGCAAAAAATACAAGGGACTGGAGAGGATGGAGGGGAAGGCAAGAAAGGAGCAGGTTGCTCACTGGTTTCACTGCTGGCAGGGCGAAAACATAGGTGGGGGAGGGGTGGGGACAAAACTACTAGCACACACACACCCCCCCCAGCCTCCTTCCTCCCCTCTCTCTCTCTCTCCCCCTCCACCCCTTCTCCCCTTCCCACGAGTCAGGGCATCCCTCTACATTCACCCTAACGTTTCAGGGCAAATGTTCACTGCCATTCTGAAATTTCAGGGCAAAACACATGGATCATCCTGACGTTGCAGGGTAAATTTCAGCGTCATTCTGAAATTCCAGGGCAAACTTAAAACACCATCCTGAAATCAGGGTAATCAGGATGTTTTGCCCTGATATCATGGGCCCTGCAGTTAAGAAACAGCAACGCTCGACCTCTCGTCTTAAGCTGGCAACCCGACTACGCTTCTTCGTTTTTGATCATGACGGCAACCCTTCTATCCACCCAGATCTTCGCTCGTCATGGCTTCTCGGAGACCCCTTTCGTCCCCCCTAGACCCTTCCATTTTTTTAGCATAGAGCGCTCCCCAGCCTTGCTGGAGGTTATCGGTTGATAAGGAAATAACGTGTTTCTTACGTACGCCTTTGGGCTGTTGGTTGAGTAGACCATGGTATTTCTAGTTGCTCTATGCTTTTCTATACATGGTTACGACCTTAATATAACCTTAACCTTAACCTGTGGGCATCAACGCTAACCACCAGAGTATACCGGTATATTTATCTTTGGTTAAATGGTGATCCGTACTCATACAAACTCAATGAAGTCCACATTAGATGCAAGAAATACTCAGGGCGCTCTGGCACTGTCTCCCATCACAGAAGCCGATGGTAGGATGGTTTCTAAGTACTCATCTACATGCACTAGACACGGCCAGTAATCAGTTCGGAACCTGATTACGGTTGCTGCGGCTCCAACCTCAAGGCGCATGACTACATGGAACCGCGGCGGAATGAAAATAAGGACTTGCACGCAACCCAAGGTCCGAGCTTCAGGGTCAACCTCAGCAGCTTGCTGAACCGAGGCTACTTCCACGATACCACCTGTCAGCAACAGCAGGCCTGACGCACCACCTACCCCCACCATCTTTGCTGCAGCACCGCCACCACTATCTCCCACTCCACCCGCCCCAGGTCTTGAGGGTCTTGTCCCAAGCACACGCTCCCACATCTTCACAGTGCGTTTCCTGCTGATAGACCCGTTGTCACAGGGAAGACATTCGCCGCCACCAACAACCATCTGCTTCACCCTTTCTTGTAACCATTGCCGTATCCCCGTCCCCTCAACACCAACCACAAACCGACCCAAGTGCTGCTCCGCTGCTCCAATCACCGCCTCTGGTGTTACAGCTACAGTGCGGACTGACTCAGGCCGGGCTGCAGGCAATCCCTTCTTATCAAACGCCCCTAATTCCTCGTTCCCTGAACCACTTCCACCCACTAAACCTCTACTCCGCATCGCTTCCTTCGCTCCATCCAACCCCCCTTCACCAGCAACCTCCTGCTTTGCACCACCCCTGCTGCCAGCAAGACCCCTCAATTCCCCTCCCAGAAGCTCCCACAAAGCATCAAACAACCCCAGGTCCCCACCCTCCCTCTCGCCCTCACCACCACCACCAACCTCACCCCTGCTTCGCCCCTCCATCTCACCCCGCCTCGACCCCTTCCACACCCCTCGCCCACCCCCGCGCCTGGCAAACGGCCAGGGAGCAGGCATGAAAAAATCCTCTATGCCGACCGGAATGCTCGCCAGCTCGCCTGCGAGCGTGCGACCATCTTGGCTCGTGAACGTTACGGTTACCGCCACGAGGATCGGCGCGGGCCAATGGGGCGAGAATTCAATGTCAAAGGGCGTTTGGTCCGTGACTGCTAGTAGGTGGTGGGAGGACGAGGAGGGGTTGGTCCTAGTGAAATCCGCGTTGAAAGATTCCTCCTCCTCCTCCTCCTCCTGCTCTTTCTCCTCCTGTTCCGCTGTCTCCGGCTCATCTGCTGGCGCCGTCTTCTCGTCTTGTTTGAAAACAACAAGGCACATGCTGCCCTTCGTATTGCCACCTCCCTCCACACTCTCCTCCTCCTCATCCTCTCCCAGCACTCCTTCCTGACAATACTCCTCTCCCTCCTCTTCATCCCACTCCTCATCTTCCCACACCTCCTCTTCCCCCTCCTCCCCTGTCACCCCCTCATCCCGAGCCATCATCAGGCACGGAATCAGGCACGGCTCAATAGGTCCGGTAAACACCGAGGCTCGGAAACTCAGCTCAACAGCAAACACGCCCACCACAGCTCCCATGATCATATCAATGGCTGACGTGGCAGCAGCAGCAGGACCAGAACCATCACCCCTGCCACCACCCATGCCACCACCTATGCCACCTCCCCCACCACCACCACCAACTCTACCAGCAACCTTACTCTGGCCCAGTGTGCTTATATCGAAGGCAAGCTCCTCTCTAGCCGTCGGCAGCAGCTTCAGCACACAAGGCACACGCACCCAGAACCCCTCAGCCTCTTCGTACCCTATAATGTCACCCTCGTTAGAGTCACTGTCCTCTCCGAAACCACCCTTACTGCTGCTGTCACTGGTAACTGCACGAATGATGGTTGCTGAGCCGGAATCGCCAGGCTGTCGTCGTGCCAGCATGGCAAAATACTCGTCCAGAATGGCTGCCAGCTCAGCAGTGTGCGTGTCCAGCAAGGCAAGAGTCTGGTGACTCTGCGACCGATACCAGCTAGAACTCTCAGCCTGCTGCTGCTGCTGCTGCTGCTGCTGTGCTGGCATTGGTTGGAGCTTAGTTGACAAAGTGAGACACTTAGCACCATTGCTGCTTGAACCAGCAGCAACAACAGCAACAGAAGCTGAAGCATGGTTGCCCTCCTCACCAGCAGCAGCAGCAGCAGCAGCAGCAGCAGCAGCAGCAGCAGCAGCAGCCCCCTTTTCAGCCTCCCTTCCCTTCGCCCACTCCCCCCCAGCCCCTTTTTTGTCCGCATCTGAGGGGAACAAGACAAGCTCCCACGAGTCCGGAACAGCCGGCGGCCGGCACCGTTTGGCCTGTAGCACGCGTGACAGCTGCACGGGGCCTTTGGGCGGTGGACGGGGGTGAATGGGATCCAAGGGAAGGGCGGCAAGAGAGGAGGAGGAGGTAGAGGAAGTGGTGGTAGCAGTGGTGGTGGCGCTGCTGCTGCTGCTGCTGCTGGTGTTGGTTTTTGGTGTCGACTTAAGTGGAGCGGTGGTGGTGATGGGAGCAAGATGGGAAGAAGGGAGGGATGTGGATGCAGAAGCAGAGACAGAGGAGGAGAGGGAAGAGGAGGAGGAAGAAGAAGTGGGGACGACAGATGAGACTGCTGAAGCTGGTGATGAGGACAGCAATGAAGCTGAAGAGACAGCTGCACCAGCAGCCAGGCCAGAAGCAGCAACAGAAGCAGACGTAGCAACAGGAGCCGATGCAGCAGATGCAGCAGCAATGGTAGGAGAAGCAGCAGCATCTGCACCAGCAGCAGTAGCTGTGGACACGAACAGATCACCAATCGCTGAGAATATACCCATTGGCCCCTGCCCCCCCCTGCCAGCAGCACTACCATCCACTCCCATAGCACCTGCAGCAGCGGCCGCGGCAGCAGCAGCATCGGAAGCGGCAGCAGCGCGAGCAGCAGCGGCGGCGGCAGCAACAACGGCTTTAAGAGCGGAGGAGGAGAGGGAGGAGGAGGGGGAGCTGATGACAGCAGCGATCTCCGCGAATGCTGCTGCATCTGCCATATTCACGGATTGGGGCTGGGAGGGTGGTCCTTCTGCTGTGTCTGCTAAAAGTCGATTTGCTGCTGCTCTCGCTGCCGCTGCCGCCGCCGCTGCTGCTGCTGCTGCACCTGCTGCTCCTGCTCCTGTTGCTGCTCCTCCTCCCCCCATTCCTGCTCCTGCTGCTACTGCTGCCGATGAAGTGACATCAGTACTGGTGGTAGCCAAAGCAGCGGACGAGGCGAGAGCAAACAAGGCACCGCCAGAAGCAGCAGGCATATCCCCCGCGGGAGTGTGAAAGAGGGGGGGAGGGAACGGTGCGGCAGCAGCAGGAGCAGGTGCAGTGATAGGGGCCCGGCCAGGGGCAGGAGGGAGGGATGGCGAGGAGGAGGAGAGGAGGAGATGACGAATGATGTGGCCTGGTGCTGATGTGATGAGGCGGAGGAAAAACCTGTGGGCGTGGGGGGAAGGGGAAGGGGAAGGGGAATAGGAGAGAAAGGGAAGGTGATGTGACGTGATGTGATGCGATGCGATGCGATACGATGCGATACGATGCGATATGATGCGATACGATGCATGTGTGATGTGACGTAATTTTATGTGAAGTGAGCATGAGGCCAAAGCACCATAAACAAATTGGGAGAATAAAGAGATTGAATATATACACGCCTTGTTCTGTCCCTGAGCGTGATATCTGGGTGGTGCAGAGTGACAAACGAGAAGAGGCTGCTGTTTTCAAAACATGAAGAGTGAACACATTGACCAGGCACTGCACACACCCATCACATGACATCACATTGCACATTCTGCACGCACCTAGCTCTGTCCCTCAGCGTGATGTCTGGGTGGTGGAGAGTGACAAACGAGAAGAGGCGGGTCAACGGGTCAAACGCCACGGACAGGGCATGGCTTATGAGGACAGTGCTGCAGCAGGGGAGGGGGGAGGAGAAGAAACAGGGCAAGAGGAACAAGAAGAGGGTGGTCAACCGGTCAACGGGTCAAACTCCACGGACAAGGCATGGCTTGTCAGCACGGTGCTGCGATGAAGGGGGGCGAGGGGGGGGGGGGGGGGGGGGGGGGGGGAGAAAAAGAAGCATGGAAAGAGAAATGTGAGTCGCGTGAACGAAGAGAGGCAGCCGAATAAACCAAACGCCACTGGCAAGGCACGCTTGGGTCGCTCCCTTGAACCCTTAGCTCACCGGCATATGGAGAGCACTTGAGCCGTGTCTTCCCATGATGCCCCCTCCACACGTGCAATGGCAGCAGCACCACCACTCATACCCATACCCATACCAGACACTTTTGCCGTCTTACCAGCACCACCCTCCCTCCTCCTTTCCTCCTCCCTCTCTCTTGCCTCTCCTTTTCCCCCTTTCCCTCCCCTCATCCCTCCTCCATTCCTTCCCCCTGCGCCTCCCCTCATCTTCCTCTCCCGCTCGTTCTGCAGAAACGCCAACAGGAGATCCACGATTGGGCCAGGTGGCACGTCGGGATTGGCCGAGAGCGAGTACAGGAGGGGGAGGTAACAAGGTACAGAGCAGAGGGAGAGAGGCACCAGGAGCGGCTGAGCCGTCAGATAGCCTGCTGACCTGGCAGATCGTGCGGTGGAGGTGAAGGGAGCAGGGAGGGGGGGGATTGGAGGCGGAGGAGGAGGAAGAAGAGGAGAAGGAGAAAGAGTAGAAGAAAGAGGGGAAAGGCTATATCGATCCATATAGGGAAAGTCAGCATTGTCGGAGAGAGAAGGAGGTTGATCGCTTGTGTCTGTAGATGCAGCAGGAGGGAGGGTGGGGGAGAGTTGGCTGAGGAGGGGGATGAGCTGGAAGAATAGAGTGCGGTGGAGAGCGCGGGAGAGGGCGTGGTGGTGGGGGCAGTGCGCGAGGCACGAGAGGAAGAAGAGGAGGTTTGGAATGTGGTCTGGCATGGCTGTGAGGGTGCTGAGCAGGTAGGCTTGCACAGATGAGAGGATGGATGGGGGAAGGGCGGGAGTGGAGAGGCCTGGTGCTAGGAGTGAGTGCTGCCTGGTTAGTAGGCCTGGTTTGGCCTCGTGCTCTGGTGATGCAACGTTGATGGTCAACGAGTGGGGGTGCAGTGTGGAGGTGGAAGCAGAGTGAGAGAAATGCGAGTGGGACGGGTGGGTAAGAGGCACGGAGGAAGGGACGGAGAGAAGGGGGGAGGAGGTGAGGAGTGGTGAGGAGAGGAGTGGGGAGGAGAGGAGGGGAGAGGAGAGGAGGGGGAGGGGTGTGGCAGTGAGGAAGCAGCGGAGGGTGCGGAGGGCGAGGAGTGCGTCGAGGGAGGAGGGGGGGAGGTAGTAGAAGAGGGAGAGGGCTGCCATGGACTCGTGCAGCAGCTGATGCTGCAGGCGGCTGGCAGACAGGAACGCGTCAGCAGCAGCGGGATCTCCTGATTGGCTCGCCGCAGCCGCGTCTGACGTGGCGGACGCTGACGTGGCGGATGCTGACGTGGCGGATGCTGACGTGGCTGATGCTGACGTGGCAGGCGCTGATGTGGCTGCGTCGAGCGCGGAGGAGCAGAGCGCGGCAGCGGCGATGCGGGCGAAGGCGAGGGCCTTGGCGGCCTTGAGGGCGAGCGGATCGAAGAGGCGGATTGAGAGAGCCGCTGCTAGCTGGGGTGCTGGCAGGATGGGCTTTCTCCTCCTGTGCTGCTGCTGTGCGAGTGAGAGGGGATGTGAGTGATACTGCTGCTGCTGCTGCTGGTTCTGCTGGTTCTGCTGCTGGTGGGGATGATGGCGCTGCTGCTGCTGCTGCATCTGGTGCTGCAGCAGATCTGCACTGAAGGCATCAGCTCCTCCCGCTGCTGCCACCCCGTCGACTTCCAGGGCCAGCAGCCACCTCAGCGCCAGCTGGCGCACCGCGATTGGCTGCCAGGGCTCGTGGGCCAATCGGGCCACTCGCAGCACGACAGCTCGCTTGGTGTGCGCTGGCAGGAGGTCTGGTGGTGGTGCTGGTGATGGTGGTGGGATGGCAGATGAAACAAACGGAGCAGGTGGAGTAGCGGGACGGGCAGAGGAGGGAATGGAGGTGGTAGAAGGAGGAATGGCAGCAGAGGAAGGAATGGCAGATGAGGGAATATTCGCAGAGGAAGGAATGGTGGCGACTGAAGCGCCAGAGGAGGAGGAGAGGGAGGAGGAGCGTGTGATGGTGCCTGGCACTTGTGCAAGCCCATGAGTCTGGTTGAAGCTGTGAGGGTGATTGAAGCTGTGAGGGTGATTGAAGCTGTGAGAATGGGTGAAGCTGTGAGTGCGGCTGTGTGTGGGGGTGGAGGCGGGGGAGGAGCGAGAGGAGGAGGACGGGGAGGGGGAGGGGGATGGAGAGGAGGGGCGGGAGAGGGGTGACGGTGAGGGGGGCGGGAGGGGTGGAGAGGGGGGTGGCGACAGGATGTGTTGAAGCATGTAGAGAGCTGCAGCAACAAGGGTGGGCAAAAAAAAAGGGTGGAAGGAGATACTTTCTTCGAGTGGTTAAAACTGATGGATTCATTCAACTAAAAGAAAGAAAGGGAGAAAAACGTAACACTCACAAGGAGTCAGCAAGCAAGTACCTGTGTGGGCTTGCAGAGGGGATGATGCGCTCTCCAACGATTCATGTGTTGGAGGGATTCTTGACTCATAGTAGAAGCGCAGCAGTACTAGAAAATGACGCTTGAGCAACGATGACGCTCGAGAAGTAGGATCAACAGCGTGAACTAAGTGAAATTCGCAGAACTCAAAAACCCTTCGTCTCCTTCGACAATGAGTCAAGGCAAAGCCAGTACCTGTGTGGGCGTGCAGAGAGGACGATGTGCTTTCCAGCAATCCCATGTCTTGGAGGGCCTGAGACTTGAGGAACGGAAGGTTCAGAGAAGCTGCCACCGCTGCCACGTCAGCGAGAACGCACGCGAGGACTGGTGGCGACGCCAGCTGGCACGCGTCGAGGAGCGCTGAGATGGCCTTGCGGATGGCACGCTGGCCTGATGTGATTGTAACGAGGGGGGGGGAGGAAAGATGTAATTTCAACGAGAGGGGATGGGATGAAACATGTGATTGAAATGAGATCCACATTGAGGTGCTGAAGTGTGCTTGTCAGAATGTGGCGGTGGAAGAAGGGGAGACCATGGAGGAGTCGCACCACGGATTGACAAGTTCCCTGAAGGGCAAGCAAAGAAAATACTTTCTAGTAAGGCAGGGGCGAAAAGGAGATTGCAACGTTAATCCTGCAGCAGCAAAGCTAATCCTGCCCACACCACCGAATTGCAAAGAACCCGCATGATAATCACCAACAATAGATAGTTGGAATGGCACAATCTCAACACCCCCCGCCTCCTCACTCCCTTTTTGAGTCACCTCAAATTCATTTATACCATCGACTCGTGTTTCCTCACCAGCAATGGGCAGTTGGGACGGCACGATCTCAACACCCCCGGCCTCCACACCCCCTCCCCCTCCCTCGCTCTCCTCCCCCTGCTGCCTTGTCAGCAAAAGCCCCCACGGGAGAGGAAGGGAGAAGGGAGGAGGAGCACCGGGGTCAAAGGGAAGAGCTAAGAGGGAATCAGCTTGAGGGGGGGCGATGGTGAGCGGGCGGATTTTGAAAGAGGCAGCAGAGGCAGGGAGGGAGGAGGCTGAGGCGAGAGGAGAGGCATGTGCGTGCTGCTGTTGCTGCTGGTGATGCTGGTGCTGCTGGTGATGCTGATGATGATGGTGCTGCTGGTGCTCCTGGTGCTGCTGGTAGTGGTAGTGTTGTTGGTGGTGTGATTGCTGGGTGTGGTGCTGGCTTGAGTGTTGGTGGAGGGCGGAGAAAGAGGAGGTAGATGAGGAGGGATGCAGGCGGGAAGGCGAGGGGGAAGGGGAGGGGAGAGGCGCATGGGCAGAGGCGGAGGCGAGAGAGGAGAGGGAGGAGATGGAGGAGATGGAGGAGAGGGAGGAGAAGGGAGAGCCACCTGAAGACGTCTTGGTGAGAGACTGTGATGACCCGGCAAAGAACGTTGTGCATAGATTCTGAATGGGGAGAGAGAGGGAGGAGGTGGGGGAGAGAGAGGGAGGAGGTGGGGGAAAGAGAGGGAGGAGGTGGGGGAAAGAGAGGGAGGAGGTGGGGGAGAGAGAGGGAAGAGAGGAGAAGGAGAGCCGAGACGATGTTTTGGTGGGGGACTGGGCAAAGAACGTTGCGCAGAGGTTCTGAATGGGGGAGTGGGGAGGGGTGAGGGAGAGGAAGCAGGAGGGTTAGGAAATATAAACCACGCCTTGACTAAAGTCAATACCATGACTATCCCTGACAGCAGCAGAGCGCAAATCCCTCCTCCCTGTCACACGAAGGGTGGTCCTGCCACACGTGTTTGCCAAGAAGGGAGGGGGGATTGTGCAATCCTTCTTGTTGCCAACAAGGGAGGGGGGATTGTGCAATCCTTCTTGTTGCCAACAAGGTAGGGGGGATTGTGCAATCCTTCTTGTTGCCAACAAGGTAGGGGGGATTGTGCAATCCTTCTTCTTGCCAACAAGAGAGGGGGGATTGTGCAATCCTTCTTGTTGCCAACAAGGTAGGGGGGATTGTGCAATCCTTCTTGTTGCCAACAAGGTAGGGGGGATTGTGCAATCCTTCTTGTTGCCAACAAGGTAGGGGGATTGTGCAATCCTTCTTGTTGCCAACAAGGTAGGGGGGATTGTGCAATCCTTCTTGTTGCCAACAAGGGAGGGGGGATTGTGCAATCCTTCTTGTTGCCAACAAGGTAGGGGGGATTGTGCAATCCTTCTTGTTGCCAACAAGGTAGGGGGGATTGTGCAATCCTTCTTGTTGCCAACAAGGTAGGGGGGATTGTGCAATCCTTCTTGTTGCCAACAAGGTAGGGGGGATTGTGCAATCCTTCTTGTTGCCAACAAGGTAGGGGGGATTGTGCAATCCTTCTTGTTGCCAACAAGGTAGGGGGGATTGTGCAATCCTTCTTGTTGCCAACAAGGTAGGGGGGATTGTACAATCCTTCTTCTTGCCAACAAGGTAGGGGGGATTGTGCAATCCTTCTTGTTGCCAACAAGGGAGGGGGGATTGTGCAATCCTTCTTGTTGCTAACAAGGCAAGCACGTGGGGTGACCTCCAAACTTCTTGGCACGTGTACTGCTGCGGCAGCACACACCGGTAGGCAGCCTCCAGCTCACATCGGCCAAGGCACGCTGCCTGGCAGACACGGGTAAGCAGCATAAAGCTAAAAGACATGTGCGCATTTTACACGCTGAGCCACCCCCACCGCATGCATACCTTCACAATCGCAGACAGCAGCAGCACGTATCCCTGCCATACAAATGACCGTTCC